CCAGGAACAAATGACAAAATCAAGGAGGCCAAGAACATCCCGTATCAAGAATTAGTGGGTTGTTTGCAGTGGATAGCGACTTGTACAAGACCAGATATATCTTATGCTGTATCTCAACTTTCTAGATACAATTCAGCGTGGACAGTAGCTCATTGGACCGCTGCAAAGCACGTATTGCGGTATTTGCGGGGAACTCAAGATATTTCAATTACTTACTCTGGGGGGATTCAAGAACCTCAAGCATTTTCAGACTCAGATTTCTCACAATGTCCTTTTACCTGAAAGTCAGTGACGGGCTATGTGGTAACGGTGGCAGATGGAGCGGTAAGCTGGAAATCTCAACGTCAGAGTGTTGTAGCCTTATCGACTTCGGAAGCTGAGTATCTAGCCACAACCAAATGCGCCAAACACATGTCATGGGTGTGATCCTTTTATTTTGACATTATGCACCAACTGGAAGAACCTACACCATTTTACATCGACAACACATCTGCTATATTTACTGCTACTGGTGATGGTATAAAGGCTAAATCAAAACATATAGATAGACGTTTTCATTATATTAGAGATCTTATAGAATCAAACATGTTAATTATTCATCATATACCAACTGAGGAAATGCTGGCAGATCACTTAACAAAACCTTTAGGTCCGCAGGCTCTTAATCATGCTCTGGAACTCAATCATATGATAGATAAATGATGCTGAAATAGGGGGGATGTTGAAGTAAAGCTTACGTTATAGATGTCACAGATATGAAACTTTACTTAAGAGTATTTCATTACATTTATGTTTTCATGTTTCACGTTCATGTCATGTGTTTTATTCATACTGTGTGTACTCATTTCAAACCTAATTAGTTCAAACTGTATTTCATTTAATACCTGGAAGAGCAGCGAGTAAGATTCTCTCCTCATCCAAGTTATTCTCACTTATTCTTGGATGAAGGTGAGTTATCACTCGTGGGATTGGTGTTCTTAGATTCAAGGTTCACGTTCTGAATCGTAACCATCCCTGCTCTGACAGGTAAGTCATTCAATCAATGTTGTTGTTTTTCATAACTTTCTATTTAGAGTTTTTATCAATTGTTGTTGTTAAAGAAATCAAAACTGATCCAAGTTATTCTCACTTATTCTTGGATGAAGGTGAGTTATCACTCGTGGGATTGGTGTTCTTAGATTCAAGGTTCACGTTCTGAATCGTAACCATCCCTGCTCTGACAGAAGGTGAGTTATCACTCGTGGGATTGGTGTTCTTAGATTCAAGGTTCACGTTCTGAATTGTAACCATCCCTGCTCTGACAGATTGACAGTCAATTGGTGGACAATGAAGAGAGGTGAGATTGAGATAGAAGTGGGGGTGAGAGTGGTCGAATATGGTGAGATTGAGATAGAAGTGGGGGCAAGGGTAGTCAAATGAGGTGTTGAATGGGTGTAATCTTGAAAAGAAAGGGAGGGGCGCAGGGCATGGACCAATACATGTTTGGGGCGTAAAGGGTATGGGTATATACAGGTCATAGCGCTTGCTATGTGTGCCACTATACATGTGGACATGCTACATACAAGCTCGAGCGCTGCACATAACCCACTACAGGAAATTTCAGTTTCCAGATAGGGCTGTGCACCATCCACTAAGGCCACACCCCCTATTTTTAGTGGAAGTCCCGCAGCGCTTCCGCAGTGCTTCCACTATCTATGGTGGCGCGGTTTCGTCGTTGGCTGAGTACAGTTCCACCACAAATCGCCGTTGACACCGGGATATGTGACAATAGCTGCATCTCTATGTGGGATGGTTGATTGCATATATGGTGGCAGACAAAGTCGTCCGTGTTTCTTCTTGATGAAGTCAGACTGATGGATCAGCTTGCCTTCGCTTTTGTTTTAATAGTGCAGTCCTTTTCTGATAACCACACCTTTGAATTCTCTTCACCTGTGTGAAGTGTACATTCATCTTGATATACACGCACAAGCTCTCAAGTTGACCCTTCAAGTGTTGGACAAACAATCTGGTCCTTGTTGTTGCCAATGTAAGTGACTTCGCATTTGATGTATTGATTGATTCTTTCATCATATTCTTGACAATATAATACAACATCTGCTCTTTCATGTCCATCATAGTAGAGACCTTTAGATACGGGTTTAAAATTGAAAGTCAGTCTATGCATCCATCTGCTTGCTGTCACTTCTGAAATAGTGTCCTGATATTGTTCAAATTTTGGTAGAATCTTTGTATTGACGTATTGACAAAGGAGTCGAGGTGTAACCTGAGAAGTTGAGCAAAACAGAGGATAAGTGTACAACTCATATGTAATCAGAAGAAGTAGCTTGAGTACCTTGCTAACTTTATGAGTTGCTGTCCATGCATCAATCATCTTTACTATCTCCGGATTGTCCAGCACAGAAGAATGCCTGGAGAATGCCCCACACTTGCGTATTGGTAAGCGCTTGTGCAAGATGACATGAGCTGCTTGTTTTCTTATCCGCTCGCCGTGACTTTTTCCAACTTCAAGACCAGTCCGAACCCCTTTCTGTCGGCGGAGAGCTGTCTGGGCCACCTTGCGTGAAGCCTGCATGCTCGAAGGCCGAGGGTTGATCAAATTCAATTCTTTTCTTCTGTTGTTGAATTCTCGTAGATCAGCAAGCTCAGTAAGTTTATGATTTGAAGTTTGAGTCATTTTACTATTGTAATAATCAGCTGCTTCTTCAATAGCATCATTCAATCTCTCCCACTTGTTATTGATGCATTTGAGCCTCCCTTTGGATTTGATGACTGGATCTGTTGAAGTATTTATGAAAGAATTTTCCAGTGACATTTCATCTTCATAGATCTCGTCCGTTGATTCAGTTGAATGAATTGAATCTTCTTCAAGGTCTGGGAAAACTTCAACTTCAGTGTGAGGGCTAGATGGTAATATTGGAGTGAGATTTGTTGGCTCGAAATCATTTGGTTGTTTTTCTTCTGGCTTGTCTTTTAAATCTGAACACTCCTGAATAAGTGGATTTGCATTTCGACATTGGCGTTGAGCCTTCATACGTTTGGTTGGGGGAGGCATTGAATGAATAACAAAAATTAAATAAACAATGAAGTTGAAAATTAGAAGGACATCAAGTTTTGAAATTTGGCCGGGTCAAACGGGGCACAACCCCGTTCTACATTTCCTTACTTTCAGGGATAAGCACTATAGTTGAAAAGGAACAAAGTTGCTGCAATGAATGGCATGGCATGGCTGTAGAATATTGACAATAGGCCACATTTTTGCCAAAGGCAATATTCTCACACTGGACAAAGGAAGAACTGAGTGAATATGTAAATATCTGATGCACCGATTATTAATATCAAAGCACTACACATGTCATACATTTCCCCAATATGGTCTTTCAGTGCCTTTTTTGACATCAAAGGAGAAGTGCTAGTTGGATCAAACAGTAATTTTGGAAAACAATTTGATTGAGTAGTAATTCTGAAACCCCAAGCAAATATTCTGTTGAGAATGCAAATGAAAGATTTCTGATGTATCATTTAGAGAAAGTATTTGCCTGGGAATCTGAAATCTGAAAAACATATCTTGTTCATGGAAGAGGTCTCCTGCTACATGGCATCAGTGAGGAAAAAAGCACAAGTTCACAACATTGTCCAAATGATGTGAGACAAAAAGTATCAAATGAAAATACTACAAAGTATTGAATCCCTCATGGTTTGCCATGACCACAGTTCAAAAAGCATTGGTCCATATTGTAGTCCAGATTTAAGTTTTACTAGGGACCTGGAGGCTGATGCCACCCTCACAATCTGTTGGTATTGGACCAGTAGGTCCATTCTCTCTCTGCAAGCAGTACTTTTGCTTGTTCCAGAATCATGAAAAGGGACCAGAAGCAAGAAACTTGGTAGGAGGAGAGAAATCTCCCAAATATGTGGAAGTCTTTCATTGCAAATTGTTCTTGATTAACTCTAAAGCTATTTATCCTATCAAGTACATTTGAGTCCAGTTCCTAGTGCTAAATTTGTATACAAGAGATGTAAAGTACTGAGAACACACTATTTGGTGGTTAAGATTGTAGTTAGAAAGAAAGGGATGAACATTAGACACAAGACAGGCATATATGTATTTGAAACAACACCGGTTTAATTGAACAAGAAGTTAACTGCCTTTGATGAGCATTGATTTACATAATCGTCAAACAATGCAAACCAAAAAACACAATGTGATTGGAGTAAGACCAGACCAAAAGTATAAAAAGAAGTACTGAAAAGCACTGAGCCCTATTGTTTACCATGATCACCGGAATAAAAGTATTCAACCAAAGATCAAACACATTGCCACCTATTGTAGTCCAGATTTAAGTTGATACACTAAAAAAATCTTGGATATAGTTTCCTTTTTGTTTCTGTTTGATTCTTGTTTGTGTGGGTTGTTTTGTTTCCGTTTTAATTGAGTAAAAGAGGTCTTTGTCAATGTGAATGTGGTTGCAGGGAATGCATTTTTTTCATACATATGTAGCTTATCTTAGCAATGTAAAAATAGTTTCCTTTATACATGTTTTTTGTAAGTTGTTTGTGTTTGTTGGCAACTGTTTTGGGTGTGTAAGATTGATTAAATCTCAAAGGGTGTCCGGTCTACGTCCTTTTGAGGAGACCTGCTTTGAAATGTAGCCTCCTCTGCTCACTCCAGAGGGCCCAAGTCAACATTACTTGTTCCAAACCAAACACCACGGTACAGTCACAAACAATTGTTTTCCGTGTCGCGCATCCCAATTTCCAACACATAGGTCGCAATTAATTTTTAAATATACAATCATTATGGTGTCAATGACATCAAAATCATTGACAGCTAAATTGGTAATCAACAAAAAATAGCCAGGGGAAGGCCAACGTCCTACCCAAGATAGTGCAGGAAAGTTGATATGGACGAGCAACCAACGTACTCGAGATAAGTGTCATATTAACCCGTAGTTGATATTGTAGCCCCTCACAAGTTGGAGGGGCAAAGGCTTACAGAGTTTAATAAAAAAAATCATTTCTGTTCATACCTCATCATAACCTTCACCATACTTCGTGAGATAAAAAAAAGCTTGTAAACAACTAAAAGAAGCAATCACTCAAAGTCCAAAAAGCCAAAGCCAACAAAACCGTCTTGTTTTCTTTCTTTGTATGAAGCCCAACTAATATAATCTCATACACACACAAAATAAACTATACTAACAACCACGAAAATCTCATTAACAAAACTCAGTTAAATAGATATTCACAAAACAAAATAACAAGTCATCAACTTCAGAAAAGAAAAAAAAAAGGATAGGACGATAGTTAATAATTGAAAATGCGGGTCCGTATATCCTTGCAATAGAATCATTCTTAAACCCAATCTTGTCACTGCTTTTATCCTTCATTGAGAAAAAGCAACGCCAGGACGAGAAGAGGAGGTCGAAAAGGGATGCATATCCTCATAATACAAAACACATCAATACATATGAACATACAAACAGGATAGATACGACAGGATGAGACTGAAAAAGCCCATAACCTGGTCGTTTCGAGATTCGCCCGGAAGGTCCAGGGATTTTGGAATTTTTGATGATTTAAGAGAACAGCAGGAGTGAAGCGAGATTGGGTGAGATTCTTCACGAGTTGGTGAATAGGATAGATGTCACTAGAAGCTGAGAAGGAAGTTGATGATGATACATGACAGGATATAGACCGATTTTGCGGAACATCGACGTCGTATTTGAGAGGAGTAAGGTGATGATTGAAAAGGAAATCTCAGGGAAAATATCTGCTCGTAAAGGGAAGATCGGGATGGAACTTCTTTGATTTATAAAATGGATGTGTCGTGCGAGGGGAAGAGTCGGGTGTTATTGAGTGGCTGGGTCGGGTTGACAAGAGGGCTGGGTCTGAGATAGCTATGAAAGGTAATCAAACGATGATCCGCTATCAACGACATGGTCTGAAGTCAAGAAATCTATCAACAAACGCTAACCTGACCACAGGAAGCAGATTCATCGGCGTCCACTACCTGTACATTCGGCAAGACCAGAGTGGCTACCGAATCATGTCTCTGACTCATGACGTTCAGCAATGAAGGGTCTTCAGCATCGAGTGCCTGACCCACTATCTGAGTTGTGCGGTCGGCGTCCTCAGCAGCATCCTCATACTTTGGTGGGGGAATCCGATAGGCAGGAGGTGAAAGTTGAGGCTCCGAAAGGGAAGCACGTAAAACCGTGATGTTAGGGAGTGTTGGGATAGGAAGCGTGTCGACTGAAGCGGAGCGAGGAGGAGCGGGTGAACTGGCGATGGGAGTTGATGCTAAGATAAGATTGCGACTGGTGGGAAGCACACCTACAAGATTGCATATATAATTTGTTTGGCAAACAAGCTAAGAAGATATAGGCTGAAACGGATGAGAAGACTCACTTTCACGATAGGTAGGTAAACCGACTGCTTCACCTCTGCGTTCCATAGCCACTCGCTCTTCCGCATCTCGGGAAGATTGACCAGCTGACTGCTGAGCTGCAAGTCTTTTACCCTTACGAGTGTAAAGCACTCGAGAGACGATTGTGAGAGCAACGAGTACCTATGAGAAGGAAAGAAGATGCTGTTAGCTCGATCAACGAGCAGCTTGAAAGAGGCCCTTTTTTGAAAACCGACTTACGAAGACGACCACAGCAACTGCTCCATAACTGGGGGAAGGATCGGAGAATCATTTAACGATGAGCTGTTTGATAATGATGGGATGAAGTTGGCTCAACTATGTCGCTGCACCCAATCCACCGCCAGAGCGAGAGTTGTTATTGCCAGTGGCATTGGGATCGGTAGAGTTGGAGGCCATGAGGGATACAGGTCAAGATATACTCTGATCGTGAATGTGTGAATGAGATCTAGTTTGTAAAAAAGATGAGGATTGGGTAGATGGCTAGGTTCGACTGAATGATCTTTGTTCTGATAAATGTGAAATGATTTAAAAGAAATGAGGAGAAGGAGAAGGAAAGGTGAAGTGGTACAGAGTGGAGATAGTAGTGGAGAAAGGGGAGTGAAAGTGAAAGTGAGCTTCGGTGAGTGGTAAAACTAACTTTTTGAAAAAGAAGAAGCGTAAAGTATCAAAATCGATCAAGATCTTGATAAGAATTTCAACCAATCAACTTCAGATTTGGAAATTAAAAAATCAAAAATCAAAAAATTAAATCTTACATAAGGAATCTCAAAATCAAATTAGTAATCAATCAATCTCTTCAAATAAAATAATTATGCTTACTCTCTTGAAAAATCGGAGTTACCTTCAATGTATCGGCTTCAAAGTTTAGAGTGATGGTGAAGTGAAGTAAAAAGCTTGATGAGAAACTCAAAAAGTTTTGAGAACTGATTCAAGATATTATTTCGTTAGCTTTGAACCGCATGCAAGAAAAATTAACTGGAGGCTTAAAACTGGCTTAATATTTGGGATATCTTCTCAGTCAGTCCATTGCTATTCAACTGAATCAATCATCTCAACAGTTCAATTCAATTGACAAATAAAATCACCCACGATTGCAAATTCTACTGGATGGCTGTGTTGGCGTGATGGTGAATGGTGTTTGTATTTCAACATACATGCCGTGTGTGAACAACAGATTGATTGGTATGTTTACATATAACCTACAGTACCCAAGACGGCTTTGTGTCTTGACTCTTGATGATGGTCACATAGAGCATAAAGAGTGCAAGCCAGCAAATCCTAGCCTACACCCTTTCAGCATCCGACTGCAATCATCCTGATCCGTTGGTGGAGACTATGAGCTCGGGACGGAGGAAGTTGGCTGTATTATAGTTCGACATAGGTTTACAACTTTATTTCCGCTCAGACTAGACCAAACAATTCGAATGATCAAGCAAACGGAAATTACAACTGCCAAGCTTACGAGTCGAAAAATCTAAGTATCTCCTTCCCCGTCCGTTTCTCCGGTCTCCTTTTTCGGCATGGTCTTCATTTAAAAGACCTGGTTTATACATAGGTACTTCAAGCTCTTTCAAGCTCCACCCGTAGTCACGGATCACCAAGCCACATTGAAACTATGTGAAGTACATTCAATTTGTTTCAAGTTCAGGTGGATGATAAACGAGAAATGCGCAAAGTGTAAGCTCAATTCAGCCCTTGCCTCGCCTCCGCCTCGAAATGTTATATTTACACCCTTGAGTTGAGAACACGATTCTTCCAATCGCATCTGATTTCCAGTTTTTCGTCAAGAGACCCGAGTATTTGTGTGATTCAGTTTTGAAGACTTTGGGACTCTATGTACAGCTTCACAATCTTTCTGCCTCAAGGCTCGCTTCACTATGCATTCAGTTTGGATTCACAGCTCGTCGAAAGCTTTTCTCGTCTAAACTGCGGGAACCGATCCTAGGTTACCTTTCACATTACCCCAAGTTATGTCCGTCACAGGTTTGCGCTGGTTTGCGCGGGTATGGTCAGTACATAAACAGTCAAGAGCATCAGCACGTCATCAAGAGAAGCGTTTTAACTCAGCCTTCACACGCTCTTAGTGATATTGCTTGGCTTGGGTTGGAAGTTAGAATTGTCAGTCAGCTGAAAGCGAGCCCTCAACCATCCATGACCATGACCCTGAGCCAAGGCTTGCTTGTGTTGCTGGGCAATCGACAAATTCGCCGATCAACATGACTTTGCGGACTTTGCAAACCCGCCTTCAATTCATCATTTGTTAATCAAATCGTCGAGAACTTTTTCTCATGTGCTTGCTTCTGTCCCACGTGCTCTTAGTGGTGAGAAACGGTCGGATGGATTATTTTCTGTGGAGAACCGGTTCTGGAGAAGCGATTGTTGAGATAATAAGATGTCACTCGCGGTTTCCATGACAAGTCCCGCGCGACTAAGGTTCACTACATCCTGCGTGACACGCTGTGACACGTGTGTTGACAACAGGTATGTCATGTGATAGTTCCACTATGTATATAACCCTACATACTGGAGCAGCATAGGAAAGGAGCTTTTTCTTCAGCTTTGCTTCATCTCATTTTCTGGCTGCTCCAGGTAGTCTTCCTTTTTCTCTTGTCTAGGTAACATTCATGAATTTCATATTTACCATGCCTTCATCTTATACCTTGGCTGCTCTGCAACCTCAAGGTTTTCTGTCTTTAAGGGTGTCTTGGTGTGATCAACCCTAACACAGCACAGTTCTTCGCCTCTTGCAAGAGGGACGAAATGCTAGACAAGTCCATGTCAGAGTAACGTCGTGTGAGTAGAAAAGACCAAAGGAGAATTCCAAATCAAGGTCGAATCCGGAGAGAGAACAGGACTTACGTATGTGAGAGAAACTCCTGTATCACCCAAAGTTAATATTCCTGGAAAGGTATATACCCGCGATTCGGATTGCTCCTCTTTCTTTCAGTAACCTCATTGAATTCACTTCTAATCCTTTCTCTCCTACACTTCCTCAACACATTTTACTATACGAAACAATCCTTATTTCGATTAATTGATAAATTTCTTCTTTTAAAATTCCTTTTTTAAAATTCCTTTTTAACTATTTCCAACCTAATAAATCTACACTAAAGCATACACTACACAATCTTTCGTTTTACCTTGTCCAATCTTTCGTCTTACCTTGTCTTGGTCTTACCTTGTCTTGATCCTTAAAGACAAGGAACCACGTTTCCACTCAGTAGTTTTCACCCTATACTTCATCGCAGAATAATGACTAAGGTCGACGCTGCCAAAGCGAAAGCTATTAGGGCTAGCAGACGTATACAAGGACTAGAAGTACCACATACAATAGAACCGACGTCGGGAATCACGACTAGTGAACAGCCACAGACACAGTCTACGTATACACCTCAACCAGCACAATCCACGAGCAAGCTCCAAGACGAAGTCCAAAGAAATCTACTAGAGGAGAATGAGAGCGAAGATAGTCAACCAGACGAAGACGACGAAGCAAGAAATCCAGCAAATCGTTTACGAAACCAGATTCTAGAAACAGAACCAAGAATTAGCAAGAACTTCATAGGTCACGTCCCAATTCCATACCCGGTCGGACCGATACGAGCTCCCAGGTCAGATTACAAAGATTCTTCTTCCGACGGGGACGACCCAGAAGATGACTTTTTAGACAATGAGTCAAGCAAAGAAGAAGAGGTTACACACAAATCGATTTCTCCCGACGACTCCTCAGCAGAGAACTCACCAAGTCACAAGAATTTGTCAGCATCTTTAGGGTCTTCGAACAATGACCAAACCTCCTCAGACTCGGAATCAACCTCATCTTCGAGCAGCGAAAGTGAAAGCGGTTCGGAATCAGACACAGGATCAGATAGCTCAGATAGGAAATCGAAGAAAGGTACAAGAAATATTCCATAACTTAACCCAACTTTCAAATGACCTCTCCTTCCCTATCATACAAATCCGTGAAACGGCACACAACCTTTCCCTCTTTTCCTTATATTCCTTCACCTCACTATCCTACTCTCCATCTGATTCCTATCATCCCATAACATCTGAACGCAGAGTAACCTACTCCAAAGATATTTTAGATCTCAGCTCCCTAGTTTGAGCGCCTCTCGAATGAGAGAAGAGAGCCTTCTGTCCAAAAATGCAAAGCTCTAAATCTCCAATGGAGTATCAAACACAAATCATACCCATGAAAGGTGCCCAAGTGGCGATGGTTTCCACACTTTTAGAAACTATCAAGATGTAACAGTGTTCCATCAAAGGTTGAAACCAATCTGTTGGCTCGTTCTCAATCACATCTATCCCTAACCTATATTGCCCCGACGTCTTAACATAGTCTTTACATGACAATCAGGCAGAAAACATATTCTGACGAAACCCATGATTTCTTTTAGACAAGAAACGAAAACGAATAGCCAAAGTCAAGAAGCAACTTAAGGAAGCGAAGGACGAGTTAAAGAGGCTAAGCAAACTCGAGAAAGGGAAAGCAACATCCCAGTCTAAGAAAGAAAAGAGCAAAAGCAGGCCTTCGTCGAAAAAGAAGAAGAAACGTAAGGGAATTCAAGTAGAAATCGGAGTGATCCCCAACTCCAACTTGATTCAGCTACAACCCTTCCGAAGAGAACAAATGAAGAAGCTTCACTCCTCAATACCACTCACGGTCTTCGATCAATCCTTTGCACTAGCAGATAGCAAAGAATACGACCGTCAACATCACTCCTCATCATCAAAGACAACGAAGAACAAAGGCCTAGATGCACCGTCAGAGTATAAGATGAGCTACGGCGAGTGGACAGAGAACATAAGCCTTTTCAAACGCTATTTAATTATGCATAAACACCCTGAAGTAGCCGAACGAATAAACTACCACATTAAGAATGTGAAACAAGTAAAGTAAGAGTCTAAACAAAGCATTCGAGAACAACTAGAATGACCAAAACTGACACACCGTCTTCATTCAGACGTTCCACCGAGTGTTGGATGACAGCCTTAAGATACGACATTCTTTGTCGGAAGAGTGTTTTTGTAGAAAGAGAGGACAAGCATCCAATCAAAGACATAGGTTCTTTTATGAAGAAATACGAAGAAAAGGCCAAAGACAAGTCTCTCAACTTCGGAGAAACAAACGGCGGGGAGGCGAACCCTTACGCCAAAGGAGGTAGACTAGAGTTCAAACACCCCGAGACTGGCCAGCCTATTGGGTACCCTAACCAACATCAACAACAGATCAGTACGACGAATGTTCAACCTGTAGCCTCCGGATCAAGAGAACACAACTTTAGAGGCCGTCGACGAGCACCAAGACCCCCTAGAACACTCCAGTACCAACAGTACCCTTATCACCAAAACAACCCTTCAACGTACCATAACAATTTACAACCGAGTCAGTATCAGCCTTTTCAAGCACTCCCACAAAACCCCCTTCCAACCATCCACATGGGTTTCCAAACCCAAGGATCGACGAGTAATACTACCAACTCCAACATCCCAGCATCAAACTTCTCCTCGAATAGCACAAAGTTTCCATCTAGAGGGAATAGAGGATCATGGAGAGGTGGTAGAGGTGGAGGAGGAAGACAAGGACAGCTAGAGTCGTAAGCCACTACTCTATCACATTCCCGAATTGTTATTCACAGATAAGCTGCCATCATAACAAGAACTGGTAAAGCCAGTATTAACAAACTATATATGAACTAAACAACAACGGTTGAACTATGTAACATTCTAATTTCTACCTCCAACTCACTACCACTAATGTAACTTCCCATCATTTCAAAACACTATTTAATCTTCCTAATTTCACTCTTCTAACTGTCACTCCTTCATAAATTGTTGAGCATGTCTAAACCAAATGGAATTAATATGCGTAATGCACTTATTTGTTCCAAAAATCCGGAGTAGGAGAAATACCATAGAGCATACTCGAGAGCAACTCGAGAGGCCCGACGTGTGCAGAAAAGAAGACGACAGCGCAGATATAAGAAAAATCGAGAAAGAGAACTCTAAAGCAGAAGTGATACCTATAGAGAGGAAATGGCCAGTAGAAGCTAAATGCGAAATGATAGTAGAAGTCTGGAAGAAAGAGCTAGAGAAACATGATCTATTGCCAGCTTACGAATTTGTATTGGAAGGCTTCAAATCAGGATTCGACCAAGGAATCCCGAAACACACCATAGAAGGGATGCGTCATTTCTGCCCCCCGAACCACCATTCGGCACTCTTAGCAAAAGACAAAATAAAAGAAAACCTGGAAGAAGAGGTCAAAGCAGGACGAATGCTAGGACCTCTGACAAAAGACGAAGTACAAAAACATTATCCCTTTTTCCGCTCAAGCCCCATGGGGGCGGTAATAAATGGAGACGGGTCGTTCCGACCCATCAACGATTTATCTTTTCCGAAAAACAACCCGAAGATACCCAGCGTAAATTCTTTCGTCAATCAAGAAGATTTTAGAACAACCTGGGACAATTTCTATAAGGTTTACACCTTCATCGCAAACTCGGAACACGACCTATTGATAGCGTTATTTGATTGGCTCAAGGCCTATAGACAGATTCCGACAAGACCAGATCAATGGCCGTTCCTCCTGCTATGCGACTTCGATGGCCATCTTTACCTAGACATGTTCATTTCTTTCGGAGGAGTCGCCGGCTGCGGAAGCTTCGGCGGACCAGCTGACGCCTGGAAGGAACTTATAAAAGCTGAATTCGACTTAGAGGAAGCATTTAGATGGGTAGATGATAATCTACTCATCAAAAGGAAAGACAAACCAACACACATGAACGAGATAGTCAGCTACAGCTTAAGTCTAGGAGTCAAAACAAACGAAACAAAATTTTCTCACTTTAGCGATGAACAGAAGTACATCGGATTCCTATGGAATACAACCAACAGAACCGTCGAACTTCCTCCAGGGAAACTAGAACAGAGACTAGTTCAGTTAGAAGAATTCCTCAAGAAGATTGACTTCTCGCACAAGGAAGTTCAGAAAATGAACGGAAGGTTAAATCACGTGGCTTACATAGCCCCACACTTAAGATGCTTTCTGACAAACAACTTTAGGTGGCTGATGGAATGGCACAACCTGTCGGCCAAGCGGAAAATGCCAAAAGACGTTCGCGACGACATGAATGTATGGTCTAAAGCCTTAACAGAGATCCCTAGAAGAAGATTAATGAAAACTAGAACCATAAATAACATAGGTTGGGTTGGAGACGCATCAACGTCATTTGGAATAGGTATCATAGTTGGAAAGTCATGGGGTCAATTCCAACTAAAAGAAGGTTGGGAGTCCCCACTAAGGAAACCAAGACGGGGCATAGCTTGGCTCGAAACAGTTGCAATCAGACTAGGTTTTTCAATAGTAAAGAAGTTACGCGATACACAAGGCGAACGATTCTTGGTCTTGACAGACAATACAACGACGGAAGGCGTTTTGAGAAAAGAAAGATCCAGAGACTACTGGGTTAACGAAGAATGGAAATGTATCTCGGAACAGCTTTTCTCGTCAGACTGCCAACTCGAACAAAGGCGAGTTTGCTCAGCCGACAACGTGGCGGACCTACTATCACGAGGCCTTCCGTCCGGGAAAGATTGGTATCGCCAAGTACACATCGACATCCCAACAGACTTGACACAGTGGTTAGTAGACGTGACAAAAGAACAATCAATACCCAAAGAACGTGAGTAAGAAACACAATATCAGGACTAATAAGTGACCTAACCGGAAAACTCTTCCCACGGTCTTCGGAGAGTAGATTGACACGAAGGTGGACCTATCACGCGACCGGAAATGGAACGAAATCCAAATAACTGCGATGATACCCTACATCAGGCTGACCTCTACAATTTAACCTAAAACGTTTCCCACTTTCTCCGAACGTGTACCTACCAACTCCAAGCCCTCCGTTAAATTCGTTTACTTATACATAAACCCTGCACAAATCAATCAACCTCTGTCACGTCGGCCCTCCACTCCGTAACCTCCCAACGAAATCTAGTCGTGTCTCAGCCTACCCTCAGTAAGCACACCATCCATAAACAACAAGGCAATAGATTACTGACACAGACTCGGGAAACATCAGATAAACATGAAAGACATAACCCCATTTATCAGGATAGACGACAAAGTACCTCTCAGACTTAATAGAGCACAACGCCACATGTTACGTGCTTCCTGGAACAGATCGACAATAGAGTCATACGCTTCGGGAGTCTCGAAATTTAAGAAATTCACGACTGAAAAAAGGCTACAGACCTTCCCCGCGACAAGCGACGTAGTGGAGCTGTTCATAGTATGGGCAGGAGAGAACACAAACAAGAACGAAACCAACAAACCGATTAAAGTAAAGACCATACGGAAGTACTTGACAGCGCTGCGTACTTGGCATGCTTTCCATGGCCACTACTTTCCGGATATACAACTCACTCAACTTAAGTCCATCCTGAGGGCCTCAGAACGTTTGGAGGCAAGGGCACCGATTCTTCGAGCAAACCGAGAACCAGTTACCCCAAAGGCTCTTATCATTCTAGTGGGAAATTTGGCCGAACACGAACCTGACCCACTGGGTTTGACTGCTCTTGCTCTCGTAGCGTATTGGGGTCTCGCTAGATTAGGAGAATTGGTCTGTAAACACACCAAACACGGAAAATACAACCTTACAGCCATTCTACGAGCCGACCTTACGTTTCACAAATCCGAAGGAACCACAATCGCCGTGATAGGCTTACGAGAGGCTAAGACGTCAGCCCCAGGAGAAGTCCAGTACCTGAATCTAAGGGCGACTGATGGCGTCTTATGCCCGGTAGAGGCCCTACGAAACCTCAGCGAATCTTTGTTTTGGGAGGATAGTGACCCCCGCCTTTTCCTTTCAAAAGACCCTACCGGCCTGAAAGCCATCACTCGTCAATCCATGATCAAGGCGATGAACCGTGCCTGGGGTACTGGATCCAGAATGACAGGTCACTCTTTTCGTATCGGCGGAGCAACCTTGTTGACGAAAGCCGGAGTATCGACAGACTCGATTAAAGAACTCGGAAGATGGAAGTCGTCTTGCCATTCCTTGTACCAGCGCGTCTGGAACGAACAGGAATGGTCCGCAGCGAAACATGCCTTACAAATTTCAGAGGACACCATTCCATGCTTCAAGACCAAATACGACTTATCCGTGTTCACTTGGGAGAAGCCCACCTTTGATGACCCTCCAGCAGACTGGCTCAAGCGCAACACATTGCGGCGCAACGACAACCCTCCCGACTCACAAGCAGCCTAGTTTCCTCCATCTTCCTTGGCGCATTGTATAGGCCACCCTTTGTAGTCCACAACTTCTACCCCCGTTTTAACCCAGTTCTCAGCTCATTCCTAGCCCTCTACTCTCGGTAATTTATGTACTCATCCAATACGGGAGCAACAATCTAAGAAACATGAGCCAAATCCTCTGTCAAGCGACAGGTAAGGGGGAAGCCCGCTAGGCTCAGGCCTGTCGCCAGCCCAGAGAAACAGGGATCACAGCCTTCCCCCTCCCATCAAAGTAGACAACCCAACACAGAGAGGTACTAGTAACCTCTCTGTTAAACGACGAGAGATCTCTACACAGAAGAGATCTCTCCGGAGAATGTCTCTCGCGGTCCTCTGACGCGATCAGGGTAGGGGAACAGTTCTAGTCTGTAGAACTCTCCCCCTACGAGCCCTGTCTCCCGTTATACCACTTTACCTCACCTAAGTATAAACTTAGGCAAGGTAAAGTCCTGTACTGTTTTTATTATTAATGAAATAATGATGTTATATAGAAAATGGATAGCTCAACAAAGCCCTCTTTGAACACACCCTAACCTTAGCATGTGTATGGTTAGGTGTGTTTCTGCTCTTTGTAGCTCATTTGGCTTGTGCTGTTGTACTACTCATGTTGCACTTGATTACCCCAGGTTGGTTTATTTTCTAAACAGCTAAGCTATTGGCTTCTTCAAGCTTATTCTTGCAGAATTTCTCAGTCTTTGCATGTGTTATTGATGAAAGGCTTGCATGATGTACTGGGGGTATGTGCCTTTGATTATGATGTTTCCACTTTATACTGAATTTACTTTCTATTCTCATTCTTCTTCTGAAAATTTTGTCCTTCGATTCAAAGTTTTTTTACGTTCAACAGAGAAAATGGAAGGCAATGGGCCTACAGCCTCAGGTGCCTTGGTTGTCTTCCAATACTCTGGATTAATATCTGTCCTTGTTGATACCAAACAGGTCACACCATATCAAGCCTTATCTGACATGATTGGTGGCATAATCAAACAGCCTTGAATACCAGGCAGAGGTGCTTAACTGTTATTGTCTTGTAATGGTGACTGTTCTAAGTTCCAGACTTTGACTAGAGTTCTGCAAGAATATGCATCCTGATTATGCCATTTGAACTGAGGACCTATGTTGCCTCAATGTGTCCCAGTACAAGAAAATTAATGTTAATTGTACATCAAAACCAACTTCTGAGTCCAAACCTCAAGCTAATCAACCATTCAATCCACTTGATGAGCCAAACATGTTCAGCACCTCTGCTACACAAGTTCTGACCAGCAAAAAATGACTCAATCAGTACTTCTTGGGAATGCATCCATATTAGTATGGTGGAGAGTAAGTACAATTATCTTCCCTTCAGCATTAGTTTTGGCTTACTTCATTGTCCATGCACCATAATCCAAAGCAAGTTCCTTGGGACTTCTGCAGCTGAAAGAACTTTTTTGATTGCAGAAAGTGTGTGTGCAAATTTATGCAAGGTGGTCTAACATCAAGATCAATCAAAAGAGCCAATGGCTCAAAAAAAATCTTGGAAAGGTGGTGGCAGCTGTGGAAGAGTTTTATGATCCCTATACTTTGATAAAGAAGAAAAAAGGGGTTGACATATAATTTTTGCAACATTTTCTTCAATCTCTTTGTTTGGTTCTATATCTTATTTTCTTAGAGATTTGCTGTTTGTTTTCTGCCTTATATTTCTCTCTGCTTTTGATCTTTCCCAGTTCTGTGTGATATATCCTGATCTGTCACATGTGTCTTGGGCCTATTTCTTGTTTCAATGCTTGTGCAAACAATTCCTGAAAAATTTGGTGCCCTGTACTGGGGTTGGGGGTCAGTGCCATCTTAGATTGACTGTCTTGTGCAAGTCACAGTCTGAACTTTGTCATTTTTTCTGAAAAACAGCATTGCAGCTTGATTCAAGGTTTCCTATTTGAAAGACACTGGCTACAAGGCATAGCACCATGGACAGTGTCTTAATAAGAATTTGATATTCAATTGTACACCATACACCATGTAAATATCTGTGTAGCACGTCGACGTGCACACACAAAAGACTCTCCGTAGAACCTGTAACAACCCATCAAAGAGGTGCCACATCAAGCGCATCTTCCCCTTATCACCTGGGAGGTTGAAAGGCAGTTGACCCCTGCTGACAACAAAGGATTATGCAAATCCTTTGAACAAATCACAAAGCACAAAGGGTGCTCAACAGTAATCTCAGTCTCATTTCAACCAAAAGACTGAGATTTATTTCAAAACTCTCAGTGTGTGCACGTCGACGTGCTACACGGATATTTACATGGTGATACTATGTATCACATTCTATAAATCATCTTGGAATATGCAAGCTTGGAGAGGAAGAAATCAACCATGCACAATACCACCTGATATTCTTCAAAAAGACACAATGGAAAATTCAAGGACAAGGAAAGACATACAAAGGGTACAACATATAATGTGAGCCTTCAAGAAAAAGACAGTACTGCTCTGTCAATTTAATTTAGACTGAACCCCTCTTGAGAGGAGTGAGGATGGACAAGTGAGTACAGTAGAAATCTAATCATCCTTTGTTCTGTGTCTGCATTGCAACTGCTCAACTTTGCTAACCCTTGGTTCATTTTTTTGCAACAGCATCTTATGCCACTCTTGAACATCTTCCATCTACATGACTGAAAGATCAAACTTATAAGTATAATTTGATGACATTTTCAGCCAATATTTTGGTATTTTAACATGATGCCTTGCCTAGTACTCTATCTGACAGCATTGATTTGTATGCACCTTTTCCATTTGTTTTGTTTTTCATGAAATCTTTTATCTCTTCCCTCAAACCATTTCAATCAGCGCAATTTTAACCGCCTGTGCCTCTTTTCACAGTGGTCGCTACTTTTCTTTGAAAGCAGTGCCCATTTCAAAATTTTAGTGTTTGAAACATTTCACTTTACAACAGCCGCAAATTTTTGAGCAAAGAGGTCATATTTCAAAAACCCTTTCCAATAAATGAAAATATCATTTGAGATGCATATTCTTCCCAAAATCTTACGCGAGTGGATGTCAATAAATGGCTGTTCATTACTTGTAGCGATTTCACCACGTTTTTTGCCATGTCCAAGCTCAAATACTGTTTGATGCATAGAAAGATTGCTGGGTTTACTAAATCCGTGATGTACTTTATGGACAAGCCCAAAGAGATCTACACTTTATCATCATACCCAGACTTCAAGTCAGGCTGATGTTCATAGCATATTGAGGACTGCTCACTGAAATTCATTTTACAACCCTCAAACTCAGACAAAATTCAATGTATAAACAGATGAGTGTGATTAATATGCCTGTGCTGTACTTCGCAAACCAACACAGGGAGTTCGGTGTCTGATTGGATTGAACATACCCAGGGGTCAGGTCAGGATCAGGTTTATAATATCGTGAGGAGTGGTTACTAAAATAAATGTTACAGCACACGTCTTGGATGTTGAAAGTTAAGCCCACATTTTTGGATTCAGAGTACAACACAAACTGATCAAGGAAAAAAAGGAAAAGGAGATATAACGGAGGGAAGATTTGTTTTGTTGGCGTGAACACGGCATTGATCATCGTAGTAAGTATCTTATACCTATCACAAGGAGATGTCGCCAGTATCGACGACTGCCTGGCAATCTTCATTCACTTCCAAACCAGCTGCCAGTGATTCTCACGTCTTATCAGGAAGATATCTATGTCTCCTTGATGGTAGCGAACTAGCGAATGCAACCTGGATATTGATATATCCAAGTGGTCTTCTTCAGCAGTGCCAGAGGCTCACCAATGACAGCCGCGCAAGGCGCCCAAAGGAAAACCAAGGAGGAAAGCTGGCCAGGTGACTAAAAAGCTTGCTCGGATGATCCTTTGAATGGCTCTTGTCCTCATACCTATGCCCACCGGCTTCAAAGATGAGATCATCTTCAAAAAGAAACTCTTCCACGGGTCTAGGAAATAAGTCTTGAATTGCAATCGAGGTGATTCTGAACGATACTTGTAATATCTTCTTGGTGTTTGTTTCATTTTGGCTCGACGATTTTTGATTGCTCTATCAAGATGGTCATCGTACCCTCCGGCATTTTCATCCGCAACTTTTGGAATAGACTCTATGTTCGGGGCGGACTGATCACCCCAGCGGAACTGGGTTGAAGGTTTCGGATTTGCAAGGTTCGGGTTGATCTTAGAGTCCATATGGATATTGGCTGCTGATCCGTTTTTGACAGTATCGCCGATTATCTGTCCTCTGTGTGCTTTGTTGGTGATCTGTTCAATATGTTTGAACTTGCCAACTATAAGTGGTACCACCGCGGGTGAAATGGTTTTTGAAATGAAAGCAGTGAATAAGATAAACTGTATCATTCTGCATACTTGAGGCTGCTTGATAAACATCTTCAGTGTTTGTCTTTCTTTGGTTAGAAATTTAATGACCTGATTTGATCGAGGCCATCAAAGAGTCAACGCATGAACGGAGAGGTCATATATAAAAGTTTACTCACAGTGTCTTCACTTTGTTTTGTGACGGTGTGCTAGCATTCAGCGGTTTTCGGCGAGTTTAGCTAGTACAGAGATGAAGATTCGGTGGAAGCTTCTTGGAAAGATGGAGTCGGAGTACGGATTCGCAGTTTTTTTTGTCCACGGAGCAAGTGCAATGACGGAATTATTTTCTAAAAAGTAGTTGATATGCAAAGGCGTACTCAGAAACAAATTCAATCACTTTGGGTAGGTGTCGATCGGCTTGATCAGCTAATAATGATTTGGATTTTAATGCAACACCTTTGAGATGTTGGACTTTGTGGCTTGTGCTCGTATGCTTTGCTGGGTGCTGCGATCAACGGTAGGCTCGTAGGAAACAGAAGCCGAAGCAAGTCAAGTATTCACGTAGCGGGATCTGAATTTTCTGGGCTTATCATTCATTAACATCGATCGAGGCAGGAGTTACAGATTTTGAACTGAGCAATTTCTTCACCTGCTGCGGTGACATGTACTGTACCTCAAAGATGAAGAATGAGTCTGCCACAGATCGGCTGGGACCCGCAAATTCTCAGACAGTCAATGACGAATAGAATGACGAATAGACCTGAGGCGATCGCAAAGTGAGTTTAGTATTAGTTTGCAAACTCACAAAGTCTTGGTCATGTCTGACTATATGAAAAATGATGAAGTATTGCATGGAGGAGAATAAGAAAAAAATAGGCTTGTTTTGCTGAATGCATTTACAAATATGCTGAACTTTCAAAATGATGCAAGGTGAAAATAGATAATGCATTTTTTGCGAGGACAAATAAGGGTATCTTGCTTGAGGCCGATGCGTATTACTACATAGAAGAGGCGAGCTGGGAATCAGTTAAGAAATATGGGAAGGATCAAAGCTCTAACTCTAGCCGTACTAACATTATCATGTAGACCTTGAATAATTTTTTTTCTTGCGCTGAAATGGCCTAAGCTTTTTCCAAAGTTTCCGTCGCCACCATTTTGAATATCCTCCCTTTGTCAAGAATATCTCAGCCTTTTGTTGAAATCTCCAGGTGAAGAATTTGAATCCATTTGGGTTATCAACTTTAGTCAGACCTTTGGTGTCTATCTCGTGAGTAGTATCTATTTTAGGAGCCTCAGTCTTCATTCCAGGAGTGTTAAGATCAATTCCGGGAGCCCTATCATGCATTTCAGCCGCCGCCGATTGACTGCCTTCGTCAGACAAGTATCTCTTTTGGTCACCCTCCATCAATTGCCTACGCCACTCCGTTTTATCTGATAAAGAAAGCCAATTGCCCAGCTGCTCATCTGTCCACCACACATCCCACGTGGGATCTCTTTTCAACACCACGTACCTCACCCAGTCGCGCAGCACTTTCTCGCCATCGCCCAACTCATTCATGAACCAATCCTCATAATCATCCCATTCACGCGTTACCGTCAAAGATCCCAAAGAGATAGGCCAATGTTTCATCTTGTATAGTTCGTCCCATTCTGCCTCGATGCCTTTCCGGGTCAGAGGCGCGCGTTTTCCCAACCCGATCAAGTTTGAAAATCGAAGCATTTTATCTATTTCAAGTCCTGATGCTTTCCAGATAGGGCCGTAGTGTTCTAGCAGCGCCTGCTCGTCGGGAAACCTCAGATGTTCAGCTCGAAACTCGCTGTCTTTATATGTCTCCTTCATTAGTTCTATGATATCATCACTCTGATAAAACTCATCTTCCTCTTCGGAAAAGAATACGTTAGGTTCGTGCTCGATCAAGTCGCTGGTGTCCATCATGATTGCTTTTCCTTTGTCAAGTTTAGCTGGCTTTCCAGCCAATGTTGTCGTTTGAGCAATGTGTTTGAAGTCTTTTCCTTGCGAAATGAGATTCATGGGCACGTGTGCGACAAGTTCAACTGAGCGGCGTCGAAGATAAGATGGAGCTTGGTCGAGCTCCTTGCCGAGATCTTTTTCAAGAAAGGGTTGCGCTCGGGCTTTGAGGGTAGATGCCGAAGGTTTCTTTGAAACGTTGAGATCTTGCAAAGTGATTTTGCATGAACCAAACCAGACAAATGTCCAGCTGAAAAGCTGTCGAGCAAGCATCGTTCGTATATTGTGTGGCCGGTGTTTTCGTATGACGGTTGGGCACTGATATCGAGGGGGTGCGGAAACAACGCCGCTCATGAGACGAAGACTGCGGTTTTAAACCCAAATGAGCAACAGGTGTGAGCACATCCAAAGGTGTCAGGAGTGGTATATGCTGAGGAGAGTAAGACGAGCTGTGTGGTATAGCACGCTAGTAGGTTCGCTTAGGGTCGGTTATAGGCCTCATTATGGAAATCAGGGTCCTATTATTAGCCATCTCCCTTGATTATGATCACTAAAGTGCTCAAATCGAGCTCAGCATCATGTTTAGTCTCATCTAATTCTCGGATTCCTTCTCTTAAATTGTTTCATCCATCTCAAAGCATCATTGTGATGGTGCAGACTGGGGTATACAGTTCAAATCCCAAGCTAAAATACTCGTCTCGAATTTGGAATAATCAATTGACTTTTTATATTTGCAAGCTCTCGAAACAAACAAAGGTAAGATGAGATTTAACAGTAGATGAGAGATCATGATCATGATTCCGATGAGAAGAGCTGAATTCCACCATATATATCGATGGAATGACGGTGCCATCTCCATCCAGCGCTTGTTCTCTTCTCTCGCAGCCTGATGTGTGGTGTTATATTAGCTAAGATCACTCATAAAGGAGACCAGAGCAAAGAAAATTTACTATAACTAAAGTGAATATCTTCCAATCACGGGAAAACATGGATAGAATACATACCACCAAGTAATAGAATCTTGCTCGTCTTCAAACTTGTTTCCTGAGCACCAATAGTGACTCAAATCCGTCTCAAGATGATGAGGTAATCATGGCAACCTGTCATGTATCACGGCATCGCCTCGATCAGAATACATAATAACCTGTAAAAACACCTTGACCCAGCGAAAAGTTACAACAACATTCTCCACTGACCTATATATTCACCTTGTCTTTCGATCGTCATACATATTTTGATTCTTTGAACGGCTGCGTAAAGAAACAAATTAATAGTGTTACAATGGCGACTCTTCTGATCGCTTGACACGTGTTTTCTGATACAAACTCCATGAGAGGGTCAAATAGGGGCAACAATTGAGCGGGGACCCAAGTGAGAAGAAACGAAAGATATAAAGCGAGTTCAAGAGGAGATTGAGATGGAGTGATATACATACCATACCATTCCGGGGATTCAGGGAATTGGCAAAGTGAGTATATTTGCAAATTCAAGCCATTCTTTTGGCTCTGGTTGACTTGGTTGACTTGATCAAAAGATGGATGAATAGATCAAAACATACTTTTACATAGCTGGCTCAACAATATTTCAGTGAAATTCGAGCCGTGAAGGAGTTTCTACACGAGTCCCCGGAACCAAAAAAAAAGCATGAGATTAAAAGAGAAAATATAAACATCCATGTTTGCTGGATACCAGGACACAAGGGCATGGAAATCAATGAGAAGGCGGATGAGGTAGCAGGAAGAATGAGAGATGAACAACAAGAACCAAACAAATTGTGGGATGAATAGTATTACGTCGGCTATCCTACCGCCTACAATAGATTGTACTGCCTACAATAAATTGTACCGCCTACAATAAGACTAGGAGGTAAAATTATCTTTTATCCAGGGTTCATTATGCATGAGTGTTGATGTATCGATGAGAAAAAAGCATAAGCCTATGTTATTAAAGGTGTTTTTTAACTTAGCACAGATCAATTAATTTCTTGTAGAAATTATCAAGATAGAACACAACAAACGCAAAGTTTGTCATCCAAGCGAAGACACGACGGTAAGTCAATTTTGAAGATGGAGAAGACATTTTAGAAAGTCAGAACAAACCCAGAGTTGATTGATCATCAAGAAAGGAAAATAATTGAGAAGATAGCCTGTCTATTAGCTGAAACACCTGGCAGACACGTTGAGAATACATCCACTTTTCTCATTTGATTTTTCTTGTCCTTCTTTGAAGATGCTTGTAAGCGAGATGGCTAGAATCAATATGTATCCTCATTGAAGAACTTGAGATTACAAGATCACACTAATGCAACATGTCGAATCAAAAGCACTTTGAATTGGCATGTACTTTGAAAGAAAAAGAAAGTAAAAAGCGATCAAAGAGAGAGAGAGAACTAGTTCATCCATCACAACACATTTCAGATTGATTTCTTCTTGTCCTTTTCTTGCCTGATTGCCAAAATCATCAGAGGCTACCAGTCAAAGTCGGGTTGAGTGAAAATGCTTGAGTCAAATCATATGATGTACTTTGAGAATAATAAGTAGAGCATGTCAGACTTGAGAAATTCATTTCGGTTTATGGGAAATAATCAGTCAATGCTCAATGGTCTAGATAGACTCTAGAATCCAATGGTTGATGTGAAAGGTCTGTGCATTGAATAGGATCAATAGGAAACCAAATATCAAAGTACTAGTACAAAATGAAAATATACACAAACAGACTTGAACTTGTAGTACAAACTTGAAAGGTGAAAAGCTTTTATTTTACATAAAATTCATTAAACTCGATTCCACCACTCACCATCCATTCAGCTTGTAGGTATTTTATTTCCCACCTACTTTATGATAATTTCTCTTTAACGCTTGATCCATCTTCACCATCATCCACCATTCAACTGAACAATAAATATATATAATAGAAAATTGTAAAGTGTCTTCTTACGATCATTTTAATCTCTCTGTTTCGAAAAACTGACTGGCTTCAAATTCAATCAAACAGCAAACACAGAAGGAAAACATCATCAAGTAGAAATTTTTAATGTCACGACAACAAGAAGATTAAGATTATAATCGACTCATACTCAACTTTCTCACCTTCATCAATCATCCAAACCGTTCTCATTTCTCAGTCAGTCTGATCAAGATGAAACCATCACCTACTGCAGTCTCATCTTCGGATCATGTGGGACCTTTACTCAGTTCAAACGATCAATTTCAAGACTCTTCACTCTTTGAGACTACTTCTATGAGTGCAGCAAGGGCATTAGCTATCCAACAACTTAAAGATGCATTTCCTGAAATCAACCAATCACAAATTGACTTGATAGATCATCAAGCGCTTTTAGAATCAGAATTGATTGTACAATCGAGTGAAAGAGATTGGAATGGGAAACCAGTTTATCAAGTGAGGTGAGTGAACTTGATTTTGGATTTCTTCATCTTGACAACTTGACAAACGAAGGATCAACAAGCAGTATGTACATGAACTGGTACTCAAGTCATTGATTAATCAAGATCACCATAGGAATCCAGATGATAGTGAAGGTGTACAAATCGAATGATCCAATACTGAAACCATGAATCTATCTTTTGATTGATTTTTGATTTACAGACCGAATCCAACCGATTTACCAAACTTACCATCAATCAACCATCACAGTACTACTACTACTACTACTACTTCTCTTCCTAGTTCCATCACTTCACCCACTTTAACTTTCATCGATAGTAATGATTATAATGTAAACATCATCTCATTAGCATCTCCTGAAGCTGAACGAACACCTACTACTGCTACTACTACTACTCAGTCAACTATCGATTCTCCTTATTCTAGTCCGACTCCTAAAGGCATTCGATCTTACAAGAGTACTCCTCAATTGTTAAATTTCTCACTTTCTTCTTCTCAATCGACTCCTGCTTTACTCGAATCCACTACAACCAATCATCCAAGTTTAGTCTCTCTTTCTTTCAAATCTCAACTTTCTCCTGTTTTTAAAACTGATCCAGATCTCAACCTCCACTTCACCATAGCATTCACCCCAGTCACCATCTCACCTGATCAGATGGGGTTCTATTCATCTCCTAATAACGACTCTCAATCTCAATCGAATCAGAATCAATCTGCTCTCTTCATTCCAGATCGATCTTTACGTGGTTCGGTTTCCGATATGAAATTGAGAAATAAACTTGATCAGCAACAGAAGCAATCTCTTTCAAAACAAACCTACAGTGGCAAACACAATCAGGCCTTTCACTCAGCCACACATAACTTTAGCCAAGAATCACTCAGAGATGCTGATGTACTTGGAAAGATCTTGGGTTGGCGTACCTCAACTGCGATTCGGAACAACCACGCTCGCCCGAACGCCACTTTGCCAATGAAATCGAATTTTTCCTCATCATCCAACCTGCCTGCCACCATGAAGACCACTACAAAGGCTCGAAGTAATACTACTGCTAACATCAATTACACCAACACCACTTCTGACTTTGGTTCTTTCCGTCCAAATGCACCATCGCCTCGCACTGAACCTCTACCTACCACTTTGCTCGCTTCTCCCTCTCAATCTCATCATTCTAAACGGGAAAACCAAGACGTGAAGACGATCAACGAAAACTCCTTGGGTGATAATCAATTTACACCCAAATCCCCACCAAATACATTGATCAGATCGCACACTCAGAAAAGAGTACCTAAACCAAGTCTTAAACCGATTGTGCCTTTTGGAAATGGTGTCAAACTTTACCGTAATCATACCACTAATCCAAAGCCTAGTGTTACAAGAAGCATTAAGAAAAGTCTTAGCTCGGATGATATCTATCGATTGCGTCAAGATTACATTACAGCCTCCTGGAGTTTGTTCATTTTTTGTTCCGCTTCATCGGACCATGCTTCAATCTGACTTAAATTTCCTGTCTGGACAAATTCTTTACAGATCCTGCTCGGCAATCTACTGATCGTTCACCACTTTCTTATGCTCCTCACACTACTCCTCGTGAGTTTTGATTGATCTCAAACACACCACAAGTTATTGACTTTTATCCTCTTGCTTCCTCAGCACCCAATCCAACATCTCTTTTGCGCAGCCCAGATGATACCACTCCCACTTCAGGTTTTCATCGTGCATCCCTTCCTGTCCAATTTCAAACCAGCTTTGACTTAGATACAGCTACCCGAGGTACTCTCTCTGCTACCAAACGCCGACGGACGATGCACGGTGCTGCTTCTAACGAATCTATCCGCACGGCGAGACCGAGTCCTCAACAAAAAACTCACGAACCAAGTTATCCATTTCCAGCATCTCGAAAACCTAGGTTTCAAGATATCTCAATATTTGATACCTTTAATCAATCTGCTATTCCATCCTACTCGAACCTCCCCTCACCCGTTGGACCAAATAGCCCGTCAGCCAACAGCCTCAATGCTGGGAGAGATCAGATTGGTAGAGTTAATGCCGCAGCTCATCAGATCACTGTGATTGCTCAACCTGGCGATGACCCACGTTTTGTGATTTGGGGGGAACAACAACATTCATCCAAATCATCTGTTTCTGTCACGACGAAAAGGTCCTCTTCAATTGTTGAACGACAACAAACACATCAGTCTTCAACATCTTCAACTTCCAATCTGGCTCATATCGGTAATAGTAATTCAAGTAAAAGTAGTGATGTTGGAGGTGCTAGTAGCTCAGTTTACAACGTTAGAAGATGGAGTCGATCTGCTCGTCATCAATCACCAGCTACCTCAGTCCCAATGGGTTCCGCTCCCAATTCTTTTGGGAACTCTTCCACCAGTATTCTCAATGAAGGATCTCAATCGCCTCATCGGGCGTCATCCAACTCAACCCTCACCGAGGAAGGAAACCAAAACCTCACTAAACGGTCTAGTCTCGGCTCTCGGGCTATCCCGACTCCAACACTTCAACGCATCTTGATGGCAGCCACGATTGAACGATGGGTTGCTGAACTGACTACTCGCATTGATCCCAGAGCACTGGGGGATTTCTTTTTCACTTATCGCAATGTGATGAAGCCGATTGACTTGTGCATGTTACTCACTTCTCGATTTGAATGGACTATTCTCTTTAAATGTAAACAGATCAGTACAAGTTCGGAAGACGATAAAGACGATTGCTTAGATATCTGGGGTCGGAAGATTTCAATTGATGCACAAGAAGAAGCGGGTAGGAGGATTGTGAAAGTGCGGACGTTTGTGATGATTAGGCAATGGTTATTGAATCATTTCGAAGACGATTTTTTGCAAGATAGGGTCTTGAGGTTTAGCTTGACCAGTTGGTTAAAAAATCTGATTCAAAAGATCAAGTCGATCAGACAATGTTTATTAGAAATCGATCCTAAGCCCAACGGCAAAGGGGATGAAGACCTCAAGATTTTGAAAAGTTTGAAAAAGGTTGTGAAACAACGTAAAGATGTTTATCTAGCGTACAATCTAGTCTCAGATAACAATGACAAAAGTAAGACCAGGCATAAGGATGTGAGAGATGTGTTTGGACAAGGAGAATCTGAAACGCAGGCTCGGGATAGCAATCTGGCTAAAAGTGACTTAAAGTTGAACGATGGAGATGCTTCGGAGGATCAGGTGAGTCACCATCGTATAGCATGTTCATTCTAGTATTGAAGGCCTCTCTGACCACCTTTCTTTCCAGGCTACCGATGACGAAGATGTTGAGGTGGACGTCAAACCAGAGGTCAATGAGCTTCCAGATCCAAATTCCATCCGAGCTCGATATGAAAAACTCAAGGAATCTTTTGCACAAGACACGCATGAAATCTCAGAACCTGAATCGAATGCAATAGATGAAATCAATGTCAAGTTCGACCGAGCTCCTCTTTTCATTTCACGCAAATCGACAACCATCAACGCTACATTAGTTCAGGTCCCCACTCATTCAATGACCCACTCTAGCGATACTCTGGATCACCGAATCAGTCATGTTAGACCTATCGATCCTCTTGGCTTCACCCAACAGCACAACCCTCTTCAACGTTATTTTACGTCAACCATGGGAACCTTTGGCCGGTTCAAGCGGATGATCAACAATCGATCAGGTACAGTCACTGCCACTGGGCCTTACTCCTCCATGACGGATTCAAGTCGTTTCAATGATCACATGGAATCGAATGGAGAGGTCTGTGACCTGCTCTGCGCAAAAGGTGGATTAGAACGTTTTATGAGTTTCTTTGAGGGTGACCATCGATTAGAGCAAAACGGACCCGAAAGGTTGGAAGAGATTGCTGAAGATAAAGAGTTAAGATATTCAAGAAGATTCGAGACTGAAGAATGTCCCCCTAGCTTTGAAAAGACCAACTTAGAATATGAAAGGCTGAGCATGGAAGATACGGGAAAGTATAGCATTGAGATCGAGAAGACAAGCTCGGAAATAGATCGCGGTCATTTGAGTTCACCTTTGATTCAAGACGATGAAGATGGTTTCGAATCCCAACTCTCACTCTCATCCTCGACTTCGAACACATCCTATACCACTTCATCACAACCTGGTTCGAGTGATGAAAAGGGAACTGAAGGTCTAGTGGCACTAGTCGGTTCAGAAGCCATCGAATATTTGGATGGTAACCCAGCCTCATTAGCACTTTCATTTGGAATGGTACAAGATGAGAAAGACGAGATTGATGCTAGAAGGTTTGGATCTAGACCTCAATCATTACATGAATCTCTTAGCACTGAAACTATCAAATCAGAATCCAATCGGACTTCTAAAGGTGTGGGGACTGGATTGTTCAAGAAACAAATCAAGAAACGATTTGCCAATCAAAATCTAGGTTCAATGCGAATACTTGGTTTCGAGTCTAGGCAATCCTTGAGCTTGGATCGAAACTCTATGAGTATGGGCCGCAATTCTATGAGTCTTGATCGACCATCGCTGAGTGTGGATGGAGGTCGTGAGAGTAGCTCATCTAGAGACAATCTTTCCCTTCGGTCAGGTCGATCAGGAACAACTCCACAAGACATCAGCGTCCAGCTCGACGATCTTGACCTTTCAGATGAAGATGGTAGTGATTCAGACCAACATAATGAAAATCATCGACCTCTGAGACGATTGAGGGCTGCGGGAGATCTCAAAGAAGCCATCAATTCGACCCGTCGATCTTTCTTTGCGCAATTGAAGCCTTCCTTACGACTGAGGGTCAATAGTGGTGTTCGTTTGTCTACTGAGACTAGTTCATCGATTGGAACCAGGAGAGTTCCTTCCATTGCGGGTTCAATATTTAGAAAATCTAAATTAGGCGATTCTGTGACTTCCTTACCCGATACATTAAATTCGCTTCAGGATGGAACAGAGGCTAGAGGGGAAGATGAAGATGAAGATGAAGCAGGGGGTATGGGTGTGGTGGCGAATTTTGTTGCTGAAGGATTAGATAGTGATGAGGACGAACCTGGGGATGTAGAAGCTGCATTGAGAAGATTAGAAGGTGTCATTGATGCTGATCGAGAAAGGGAAAAAGCGAGAAAGGTGGAAAGACAAATGATGAAATCATTAGAAGCTAGCAGGACCGGCAATAGGAGTAGAAGTTCTACTATTGATAGTCATCGCACTTTCTCTTCCTCTGCATCTTCCTTGGCAGTAGTGACTGATGAAGAAGAAGAACAAGGCGAAGAGGAAGAGGAAGGTCAGGAAGAGGAAGGTGAAATGGAAATGATCGACGGAGAACATGACCTGAGCGTAGACAAGACTTCTACATCCACAGTGCCTGAGATCACGTTTGATCATGTGGCCGAACGAGACTCAGGGGGCCAAGAGGGACATCGTTCATCAGAGGAGCAAAGCAGTAGACCCAAGTTTATGAATTCATCAAAGGAAAGTGTGAATAGCAATGTAGGGGGAGGGAATGAATTATGGAAACGAAAGCATAAGACACCAACAGCGAGTGAGTTGAACAGTAATCAACAAGCCATGGATCGAAAAGTTGCACTTCACAAACGGTTTGTAGGCGGTGGTGCTTTGAGTCGACCGATCTCTTTGTTCGGAGGAGTAGGCGGAGCTCAACCACCTATCCATCGATCTTTCTTACTGGATTTCCGAACAGAGATCTTGGCACAACAATTTGCATTGATTGAACGTGATTTGTTAAGGAAGATCACTTGGCAAGAGCTTTTGATGAGTAGGTGGCAAGAGAATGGTCGAAATGGATCTTCAAATGATACGAATTGTTGGACAAGTTATATGAAACAGAGAGTGATTGAAGGCAAGAGTAAGAGTGATAATGTGAGAGGATTGATTGTTAGATTCAATTTGACTTGTAATTGGGTTGCATCTGAACTTGTTATGACAGTCGGATTGGAAGAAAGGGTAAGATTGTTGGGAAAATTGATTAGATTGGCCTTTGTGAGTTTTGAATTGATTTTTGAGATGAAAAAGATAAGCCATGAAACTGATTGATAAAACTTTTTTTTTTTTGGAATCTTATAGAAATGTTATCGACAAAACAATTTTCAAACCTTGACACAAATCATTCATGGTTTACAAACACCTTATATCACTAGATTAAAACGAACTTGGGCTAAGTTGGGAATTTGGGAAAGTCGTATGTTTAGAGATCTGAAAGAGTTTACATCACATGGAGCCAATTTCAAAAGTTTAAGACTTGTTCAAGACCAATTAGTTGAAGGCATCGAATCTGTTGGTGGACCGACGGGTATAACGACGACGCCTGGTGGTCATGATGAACGAGTCAGAGTTGTCGGTTGTATTCCATTCTTGGGTTAGTCTTCATTATAATTTTTGTTTCACTGAATCATAACAAACTGATCGCTGATGATGAGGGGTTACATCAAACAGGTCTTTATTTGCGAGACTTGACGATCAATGATGAATTACCGACTTATTTAAATCCAAACGAACCATCGATCGGAGTACCGATCATCGATCGAGAAAGTGGATTTGTAGAAGGAACTAATTTATATCCATTAGTGAATATACATAAATTTCGAATTTATTCAAAAGTGGTGAATAAGATTATAGGATTTCAAGAATTAAGTTTAAGTTATCCATTCGAAGCACAAGGAGATCAAAGTTTATTTTTGAATTGTTTGAGACTCAAATCACTTGATTCATCTAGATTAAGATGGTTATCAGATGTTTGTGAAGGTCAAAAGGAATGAATGAATGAATGAATTACCTCGAGTATGATTTTTTGACTTCTTTTAGCATTTCTTTTGGGTTAGTTTGCATAGTATAAGTTTGATTTTTTTTTCTTTGTTTCTTTGTTGAAGATGATCTTAATGAGTGATTGAGTGAGATTTATTGGCATGTGAAAAATGCTTTTTTTTTGGGGCTTTTGATTGTAGCTTTGTATTGTTTAGGTCTTTATATATAATGAGTTGATTATTTTATTGGTTTCACTCTTTTGATTTTGATCTTTCATCTTTTTTTTACTTTGGTGAGTTTTGTTTTCTTGTGATTAGTATCAATTGATGATGAAAGATGTGTGAATATCAATAGATAGATAATTTTCAATTCATTCATTTTGAAAAACATCTTGATTGTTTATTTTTATTTGATAGATATATAATCATTGATTATTATATTTGATTTCTTTCCATTTATTTTTATTCAGATTGTACTTCGTATACTTAAAGTTTCATACAATTGAACTCGAACGGTTCTCGAAAACGTAATGCACACTCTTTCTTAAAACACATCGAGTGTGTTGGGTACGATTGTCCGAGGATTAATCAAAAGAAAACCGTGCATGAATGTTTCAAGACAAATTGACCATCAATGCATATGTGAATGTAGAAGGATCTGGGTTGTTGAGAAGCCGTCAACTGTGTTCAAAACAATGGAAAGACAAAAAAAATATTTGTCTTTACAAGTACATCTTTGTGGAATTTTGATTGTGATCTGGGAAAAAATTTAATTTGTTACGTGTTGAGATTCAAGGTGAATGATTACAGCCGTTAAAGAATTAAACGGCAGAATTCCTTGTCTGTGTGATGCACCCGAAGTAAAATCTAAGAGCCCAAAACTAGATTAAACCTGGTTTTGGACACAATTCAACAATGTCTTGCGGGAGACCTGTCACTTTCGATCGGATTTAACAGGTTTTATACTTTTGTATTAAATCTCGGTGCGACACAAATTTGTATTTTTATGCCTTTTATATGTTTAGTAGCTGTATTTTGACTTCTAGCTAGAAGATTGAGGTTTGTTTAGACACGAAGAGAAGTTGAACATACGAACATAAAACATAAACTGCAGTGAGTGTTTCAAGAGAAAAGATTGCAAGTGAATATACCTATGCTTATACATGTAGACACTGTTCTTATATACATTGGTCTCAATACATATGTCACCATCATTGTTCATGGTACAATCTAATCATAAGACATCATCATCAGATACAACCTTCCACAATTTAACCCCATTTCCTATAGACCGCTTACAGCTAGTCTCTGTACCTAAAGCCCATCTAGATCATATCAGGTGTCAAGTTTGCATGCTGATTCCATAGCAGTTTTGTAAAAGGTTTGACAATACTTTCTGGAAAGTTTTGGTTCTGAGTTATCAATTAGGAATCAGGAAGTATTGTGTTTGTCTGGCATAGGAAATAAAGAGGTATTTTCCTATACAAAGACTGGTTACACTTACCACCACCAAGATCAGAGAACGATTTGATACATCCATTGCCTGTGCTACCTTTGATTCCTTTGAAAAATTCTTGGGACTGGCAATTAAATAACATATGTACCAGCTCCCAATGATAATTCAAGCATTGTTAATGTGTCAAAAAAAAATTACCACCAGGTCCTGAATGTCACTGTGCCAAACCTGCTCAACAATTTATCACTTGTAACATTCAAAGATAACATGTTCAATTAACACAACATGTATCAGTCAATCCAGAAGATGTGAAATCATAGATTGATAACATCATAATTACCCCTTTTATTCTGGAAACCGACTTTGGAGCATTTGCATGGAAGCACAAGTGGCAAAAGTGGATATGGATCTGTAGACTTATTTTTCAAGCATTGAAATCAGACAACAAATCTGACTGGAGAAATGTGATAGATGTAAAATTGACAAATTTGAATTGTAGGAGAGTATGGGATTTGGTAAATTTAAGTTAAGGAAAGCTATAGGAAAAAATTGGGTTTTCAAGAAAAAGATTCATGGTCATGGTTGTTGATGAAGATTCAGTGAAGTGTTGGGTATTGTGTTTTTTGTTTATGTTATGTTTTCATTTGTTAGAAAAGGGTGAAAAGTATGTTGCACATCAATCCCAACAATCTTGTTGCAAATCTTCCCTAATGTGTTATTGGTTTTGTTTTACTGTTTGATATATACTTGATGTCTTTTCTTTGTGCTCTCTTTCCTTATCTTTTGGAAAGGTAGTAAGTGTTTCTTTTAAAATCACTACAAAACTGCTTTACTAATATCCCTTGACTGTTAGCAATTCCTTTAGGTCATCTAATCTGAGCTCTAGAAGCTCATAACTTGTGTCTCATCTTTAAAACTTTCCCTCTGCTTAACATAGATACTTTTAATGTCTGCCTACATCAGTTTGTTTCTTTATGATCCTGATTTCATTTCATTTCATCTTTTGTTGCTGTGTTCAGGTCAGCTCAAGGTTTGTGTACCTTATTGAGTTTGGAGAAGAGTGCTCATAAGCAGCACTGTTTTATCAGGTTAGTATAAATTGATACTGTCTATCTTTTGGACAGAGACAATCACTTTAGATCATCTACTCTGAGCTCTATAAGCTCATAACTTGTGTCTCATCTTTAAAACTTTTCCTCTGCTTAACTTAGGTTAGCTCAAGTTTTGTGTAGCTTATTGAATTTTGAGAAGAGTGCTCATAGGCAGCACTATTTTTTCAGCTCTGTTGGGTGTTCTTATACATTTAAAATGCTGAGATTGTTATAAAAATGGATCACTGGTGAAACACTGCCACCTTTACTTTACTATTTGGTGTAAAGTATTGGTGTTGTATCTTTTTCATGGTAGCATGTGGGAAATACTTGGTATTGGTATTGGAGGTACTTTAAGCTCTGGTCCATCACACAGTATTTTGGATTTCAATACCGTATTGGGTACTGTATCCACTTGAGCTATACTGAGAGTATCTCCTATTGTCTTGGTAAACAGCTTTGGTACGGTAAATTTTACCGTACTGAGGGTCAAAATCCCCAATTGTGTCAAAAACACGCATTGGTATCCACAGAATCAGCAGAAATTCTGTCAAGGTCCAGTAAATGTACTGGACCTCTACCGATTCTGCAGAGTTTGGCATCTGCAGATCTTCTTCACTTCTATCAAGCAGATCATACAACTCATCCTCAAAATCACAGTCCCAACTCCCACTTTGCACTACACCGGTATGTACATCACCATCAAACACCATTTTTGAGGTGTTGGCACCTCTTTGATCTTGTAAATTCTTCATTTTTCAGATCAAGTGTCTTCAAAAGGTCATTTTTTCACAAAACATTTGTTTTCTTATTCAATTGTCTTCAAATTTATCATCTTCAAATCAATTGTTCTCAAATTATCATTTTCAGATTGATTGTTTTCAGATTGATTGTTTTTGAACTGATTGTTTTCAAATCAATCCTTCTCAAATCAATAATTCTCAAACCAATCATCTTGTTTTGAAAGTGATTGTTTTCAACTTAGTTACTATCAGATCAGTTGTGTTCTTTGCAAACTGATTCCTTTTGAGTGGATGTTTGCCTGATAATTTTGAAATCCCAAGTGTCAGATTTGCAGTTTTTTTACCAAATGCACAATAGTGGGAATGAGGTGTTTCTGTACTGTATGCACTGTACTTTGTTTGAGATAAAGCAACGATAGTGGAAATCCACTGTTCTGTATCTAATGATACTGCACCAAGTGAGTACGTACAGAAAATTTACAGAAAATTTACTCAAACAATAGGAGATGCTCTGAACTGGCTAGGCTACCGGTAGTATCCAATAATTTTCAGTATATTTTCAGTATCCCATTTAGTACAAAGGCCAACATTGGATGTTGCAATTGGTTTGCAAGGGTTTGAGTTTGACTATGATATGCAATACTTTTCCAGTATTGTCCAAAGATAATCAATACTTTCCCAGTATTGGCTAATATACACAATACTTTATCAGTATTGTATGGGGATTGTCAAATATAATAATATTACTAGATACATTGTGGAAAGCAAATCTTCAGAGGAGTGAAGTTATTCGAGAAAGAGGGAAATTCAAGGATGGTAAACAAGGATACTACAGGATTTATTCATATGTAATGATGTCATTGAGGAATGAATTTAATGGTGCCATGAGTTACTAGAGTGATTTTTAAGTGATTTTTATGAATGGAATGATTCACAGTGATCTTATGATGTGGAAGAAATCAATGTTAGATGTGAAACAAGGTGAGAAGGTTTGAAAATTGTCAAAAGGAAAGTTTTCAGCCAATTACATATGCCAAAACTTGTCAGATCAGGATGGGTGATAGCTCAATTAGCACAGGATGTTCCATTTCATAATGTAAGACCTTTGAAACAATAGTCACAGAGGTTCTGTGGAAAAGTTATAAGGAATTGAAGAAAATGATATGAATTTTGAATTTTGTGCTTACATACACACATGTAGCAACATTTACATGACAAAAAGCTTGATTTATCAATCTTTACAGCTCAATAACATATTCATCACACATCAGGTTTGGGGTCATATTAGGCCAATTAATGATCAGCATTATGAGATCTACAAGATGAGCTTTAGTAATCAAAAGTTGGAGCACTTTACAAAAAAGTCGGAATTTGAAATTGGTTTTCACCTATGAGTGAAGAAGATCTTTCCATCATTGATAAACATCAATTGATCAATTTCAAAGCTTAAATCATGTAATACATCAGTAATAATCACATCATAGGATTACATCAGAGGTATTTCAGAGGTATTTTTGTTGGTTTTTGTTGGTTTTTGTTGGTTTTTGTTGGTTTTTGAGGCTGTTGACCATTGTAGTAGGTGTTATATAGTACTAGAGAATAGGCAGGCCCACCCACTAACTGCAACCGGGCCTTCTGCAATGCTGTGGTGTTGGTTTTGCCCAGATGTTTGGACTGTTTCTGCAAACATCACAACTCAACACTGCCAACATAGACACCTTGGGTTGAGAAATCCAAGGCATCATTGGAGGCAAATCCTCAGACAGACCTTGTCCAAGGTTTCTATTGGAGGTATTGTCTTGTGCTGAAGATTACCTTGGATCAAAACCTCGGGAAGCTTCTGTCCAAGGTTTGGCATCTGAGGATACCTTGGGGTTTCATTCCAAGCTAAATTTGTTGGTGGTGCTTGTTGGGTTATAAGTTCTACAGTGTGTTGGGGATGCTCTTGTCTAGTACCAGGTTTGGAAGATGAAGTCAATGAATGCAATGATCTATGTGAAAATTATAGACATGCAGTAGGTATGTTGATGTATTTGAATAACACCACAACACCAGATTTATCATTTGCAGTTGTTCAACTATCACAACATCTTGATAATATGTTGATTCTTCATTTGCAAGTGTTCAAGAGAGCTTTGAAATATTTGATTGGCACAAGTATGTGTCCACTCTTTTCTTGACATGTCTAGGTGGGTTTGTTATTATTCCTTTTCTTATCTTAAGTTGTAATTCTTAATGTAATAAGTTTTTTTGTCTCTGGTTTGTCCTATGAACCTAAAATATTTGTGATGAAATACTCTAGGCTTATTGGGGGGGCTGATAAGGGCCAGAGGAGATAAGACAGCTGGTGACAGTAGAGGGGAGGCGGCTTGTTGTTGCTCAATTGACTCAAAGCATTTAGTTAAATTATGAAATGACTATTCAACGTCAACTCACACACACGGAATAATGCAAAGTTTGACTAAGGTAGTCTTGTTGAGTTCAAGAAGGATAGAGCTCACATGGAGATGAATAGAGTTCATGTTGTATAACTGTTTACCTTTATCTAACAGAGCACATATTATCAGTCTTATCTGTTATAGGGTGTTTCAAGATAGTCGGACATTTTCAGCAATGAATGGTGGGCTCGGCACTCCCTCTACAACTTCTGTACAACATTTCCCCTACACATTCATGTTCAATCAGTCATTATCAGGGCAGCATATCTAACTTTTATCAAATACTTCTCCTGGGTGGTGGGTGGGCCTGAAAGTAGAACAAAAGTTTGAGAGCTTGTATTGTGAGATACAAAAGGTTTGATAGTATGATTTGACCAGAGGCAGGCATGAGATAGAGGAAATGGGGAGTTTGACGTGTGGAGAAAAATATTCTGAGAAGGAGGTTTTTTTTATTCAACCTTGAATACCTCTAGATCTGCATCAAATTTAGGAAGTCTTATCCCTCAGTATAGGGATATTTCCTGTTCTACCCATTTTCTGACACCAGTACCCATATTGTGGGAAAAGACAGAATTGTTGTGCTTTTGGGTACCATCAATCATGGATAGGTTTAGGTTGGTATGTTTAGAATTGAAGGTCTATGCAAATGCCAACGTTGCATCTTGTCCATACACAAGCAGATCAAAAGGTGAATATGTTACAATGTGAGGTAATGGTACATTCAAATAATTGTAGAGTAAGAAGAGGAGAATGTGGCTACTTCAACAACAGCAGCGGAATATAGATCAGCATATGAAGGGGGCCAAGGTTTGGTTTAGTTTGGCCATTTGTTATGGAAATTAATCAGGAGAATGTGCCTATATTAAATTTAGACAATCAAGACACAATAAATTTATCAAAGAATGGAAAGTTCAAATCAAGGACAAAGCATGGTGCTGTTAAGTATGACTGGCTAAGAGAATTTGTGGCAAACAAACAACTCAAACTATCTTCTAGCTTAACAACAAGCCCACTGTGCCAGGTGATTTTTCTCGGACTCGTCCGCCCCTGGCACAGGGGGCTTGCACATTAAACGACAATCGTTGCGTGACTAATAGCCACCTTTTGGTGGGTGTTTTTTCACTTCGCTTTTACACCACGACCCACAAATGCATTTTCTTCAAAAAAACAGTCAGATGAGCTCTGTCGAGTTATGAAGGAAATGGCCTCTTCAGAATCTCGACAGATCTCATGATCGTGTTGATTCATTGAGGCTGCTTATTTTGAGATTTGAAATTTCAACCGCTAAGATTGTTATGTGTACCCTTAAAAAGGCTCGAGAGATGGTCAATTGACTCCCTTAAACAAACTTATTACTCGTTTTCCAGCTCAATTCTTGTGAGCTGGCACTTTTGATTCTCTTTTTTTTCTAATAGAAGTTATGTACAAGATGCTGAACTCATACCAGCCAGTTTCAGAAACAACATCAAAGTAATGTTGAATGAGATAGGATGGGTTGCATCCAAAAGTGACCCAAATTTCACTTTTGGGGGCTATTGGTCACGCCAGAGATGTCGTTTAATGTGCAAGTCCCTCGTGCCTTGGCTTCGGGTTACCGTGAGCTTTTGCACGATTGGACTTGGGTTAAGTTAGAACTATCTTATGTTCTTACTGATGATATGATTGTAGACATTTTTACTCGAATATTTCCACCAATCAAGCATAGGCAATTCTGTTCTTCAATGGGATTGTGTGATGTTGCAAATATGGGGGGATTGAGAGCATGTGAAAAGTATGCTCTTCTATTAGTATCATGTGCACTTCTGCTTTTTTTGCTTACACCACTTCATCCATCTTAGATTGTTATGAAGTTACGTTTTAGAGTCTTCTTAATAGGTTCATACTTGTTCCCTTTTTCTTAATCAAACTCATAAACTGTTTTGTCAACAATCTTCCTTTTTCTCAGGTTGTTCAAATTTCAATCAGTGTGTTAGCTTCTTTACAAATCAAACTAGTTGAACAACCATAGGTGTAGGTTTTAAATTTTTTAGTTGGTTAGTTAGTCAAAAAGTAATTAAACTTATAAACAGTTTTTTCAACAATCTTCCTTTTTCTCAGAGTGTCCAACTCTTTTGATCAGTGCGTTAGCTTCTTTACAAAGCGAACTAGTTGAACAAACATAGCTTCTTTGTTTATTTACACGCTCTACATAGTATTTTTCATGTGACAACGCATGAGTAATGAATGAATTTGTATGAACACACAAGAAGATGTTAAAGAGAAAAAGAATGTGCATCCATGCAGAATTGACCTGGCATGAACAAATAGACGACAACAATGGTTGCTTACAAGGCTTTGATGTGGTAGCTGTGTGATATTGGCCTGGAACATGAGTACTCCTTGATATCACGGAATAGCACTGGTGTATGCATAGCAAACAAGAAAGGTAAAAGCTTCTGGATAGATTTAAAAGACAATTCAGACGCAAAACTGAAGGAGTTGAAAACTTTAGACTCAATTATGAAAGGAGGGGAGCACTATTTAATGGCTGTGGGGAAATTGAGGGCCCACAGTGAATTCTGGTTCCATTTTAAACTCGGCACCTGGTGCATTGGAGTGGGCTGCGTCCTCTGTGACTCCTCTTTCACCTTTCTCGAGTGGTGTGACATCCCCCTTGTGACCGCTGAATGGTGCTGCGTTTGGGCTGGGTGAATTGGTCTCCTTTTTAGAGCCTTGACGAACCTCGTTTGTTTGAGAGTCAGCTGAGAGACCTGCACTTCCTTCCCCATTATTGACTTCAACTTCTACGTGATGTCCTCCAAGGGATGGTGTGGTCAATGGTTCTTTGGTCGTCCCTTGTGCAAGATTCACATGCTCAATATTTTCCGATGTTGAGGGGGTAAACTGATCTTTGACAATTTCCGTTTTTGCGGGTTCATCAACTTTATTCTTTGATGAAGCTTCGGCCTTTTTGGTGTCGCCAACTTTGTTTTTGCGAAGCTTCAAACTCCGAACCCTGGCAGACAGATATCTCCACGCTTGTAGGATACGCTTTTTGAATGATTTCCAGACCTTTGACATGTAGTCTTGGACCGCTTTGACTCTGGAGCCTTTTCCTTCTGGAATAGTATCCTTTTCGGCGTTTCTCTCTACTGACAAAGGTGCCTGGGAAGCAGGTAGCGAGCTTTTTTTGCCAGTTTCTGGAGCAGCGATACCGTCTGACTCGTGGCTTCCATCTACCTTGCGGACTTCAACACAATTGGGTTCGGCGATTCCGTCCGCCAGTTTTTCAGAACTCGAGGCTTCGCCGACCAAAACGTCTCGCCCATCTGCGACAACTCCGAACACGGGGAGCGATCGCTTGAAGTTTGGGCGCGAAATCCCACACCCAAACAAACAATAGACCAGGAACAGCGCTGTGATGAGATCAAAACGCTTCATTATAAGCTGCTCTGTTGAAGACGACCAAGATGGGTAACATGTCAGAATATTGAATGACAAAGGGTTGACAGGTAATACGAGTCTCCATGCGTCCGGCTTGTGTTGAAAACTTACCTGGGTTTAAGACAGCAGGTGGATGATATCTAGGCGGCCCGGATACTAGATACGCTTGACAAAGCGTAAGGACGTGCAAAGGAAGTGTGTTTGACACGGGTGGAATAGGTGGCTTAAGACTTTAAATAGAAGGATTGAGACAGAGACAGATATCCAGATTGTATCTTAGGTTATCTTATCGGTTCACGGCGAGAGCGCCTGAGAGCACTATGAGATCAAACGTGAGCAATGTGCGCCGAATTATTATACCTCTGAACCGACCTGTCCCTTGTCGAACAGAACATGATACCAATGTTCACGCAGGTAAATGACCAAACTTGATCGAACGTGTAGATCATCCAAGGCTGATCGTGTCAGGCCTGCGCACCCGGACATCTCCTCGGCATAAGTTGGACTGGTGTCACATCAAGAGTGGCTTCTTTGGCATACTGGGGTATTGTGATCTATGAGATCATTATGTCTTGGCCCATCAGCATCTGCAACCGCATCTGTAGGAATAATATCATGTTGAACAGTCTTTCGCAGCCCATTCCGGTCCCTGAGAGTAGCAGCTGATAATCGGAAGAATGCCCGCAAGTTTTGTACATATTCACAGCAATGTATGCTGATGAAGCCCATACAAGCCAAGAGATGTGTCAAATAAGAACTTGAAGGCGCAGAATCGAAGCCCGACACGTCTGTCCTTCTGATCATCAGGCATATATTTCGTACACCAGAAAACGGGCGGCAATCCATTGCATCAGCGTTGAGGGGTAAGACAAACTCTATGCCACCAGTCACGCCGGGAAACTCGAGCCCAGCCTCACGAGAAGCACACAGGTTGCGGATTCCTCCAATGACAAGCTAGGACAGGTGCACCTGCCATACATACAGGGCGGAAAACGTTTCTAGGACCTAATCATGAGGTAAACCCCGGTTAGGTGTACATAGGTCAAGCCAGCAGGTGTAGATGCTGTGGAAAGAAACCTAGGAGCGGTTGGGCTCATTAAACTTGAAACACAGCCTTCACGCTAGAACCTGATGAACCTTGTACAAGCTTATGCAACTCGATCACAACATTTCTCACTTTTCCACAATCAATTCGACGACAGTCGACGCAGTCTGGGGTTGAGTGTTCTTGATCTTATCAGTTCATCATTACCAGGTAACGCTTGCTATATATTAAAAATGTTCTGCTGCCTTGCTCATGTTTTGCTCCTCTTTCTGGCGTGACTCAGGTATACAGATGACTGGCCTTTTGATAAGATGGAAAAACATTTACACGTCTGATTTTTATTCTTGAGAATGTTCTTTTCAAAATACATTTGTGAAAAGGAATGAAAGCAAAAGTGCAAAAACAATCCGGATACACAACAGAAAAGCCACAGAGAGTACATTATTGATGCCACGGTCGCGATATGTAGAACCTGGGATGGAATCAAGCCGAAGGCCGTAACAAGAGTCGTTAGTCACTATGATGTGGTCTGAAACCAGCCTCTCATTGTTGTACAGGAGCTCCGAGGAAAAGGAAGGGCAGCTTACATTCAGAAAAACATTAAGCTCCGAATGGGTTACTGTCTCGTTCATGTCTGCTTAACCCCGTTTGCAGTAGTTTCAGCACCGTGAACGCCATCTACCGCATTGTTCGTTCCAGTCTTTGGTTTTGAAATGAGAGCAGCACCTTTCTTGAAAAGTTCCTTGACGGATACTTGTTTGTTATACTCAGCTACAATTTGTGCTATATCTGCATTGTTTTGAAACCGGTCTGCAACCCCATCAGTCCCAAATCGGGCAAGCCAAGCGGTACGCTCTCCGGCAAATCTGGTGTTCCTGCTCACTTGCCACTTATGAACTGTGTCGGTGAGCCATCGATACGGAGTAGTAAAGGTCTTCCATGCCTTGGGGACGGCTCCAAACTCAGCTGTGTGCGCCTTTGAGCCTCCAACCAAGCTCTTTATCCCGCGCCCGATAGCGTTGGTGAGACGGACGCCAGGTGCGACTTTGTCTACTGTAAGAGCTTCTCTGGTCCTGTCCACCATTCCGAGTCTTTCGAAGAGAATATGACCTAGCCATGTGCGTTTCTCTACTCCGGCTGCGATAGTAAAGTCATCGGCTGCCACAATTGCGCGAAGCTGGGGGAGTTCTGTTTCGGTATCCGCAAGCCAAAGCATGTATTTCGCGGTTTTCCGGCCCCGATAAGCCTTGAGCATCCATGAAAACGGCGCCTTGAAGGCACGGTATAGATTTCCTTCCCAGCTGACCAACTTGATGTTCTGACCAGTCAATCCGCTAAGCCGAGCCATGTCTTGTGCTACTACATTATCCTTCGACGAGTCGACTGCCGCTGTTGGTGGTTCTTTGTCCGACGGAACTGAAGACGGACTGTGATCGGAATGCGAGGCTCCAGAGAGTTCAGAGCCTACCGATGTGCCTTCGTGACCGACTTCAGTGATTTCGCTAGAATGGACTGCGTTCCCAGCGCCCCCAGCGTTTCGGTCACCAAATAAACCGTTCTTAAGGTTGGCAGGGGCGTCCTTACCGCCGCCACCAAGATGTGCTGCATCGTTGATCCCACCCAAACCATGTGTAGAACCTAGAGCTTTTGCATCCCGACCTCCGTTTGCTATTTCCTCCACCCCCTTACCTAATATGGCGGCTCCGTCTCTGATGCCTTCTACTCCAGTGACGATGTTAGGGGCAGTGTATGCCGATTGAAATATAATGGAGGCCGAGACAGCACTTAGTATAAGTGTGACCAGCCGTTGAGGCCTTGAGAGTGTCATGAAGCGGCCAAGTGATGTGATCTTGAGGTGGGATGATTGCGATGCGTTTTTGATTATCGGTCCGGCAAAGACTACGCGTAGTGGAGCAGATACAGGTCAGACTCGTTAGCCAGAAAGGGATGAAGATGGGCGATCGGTTAGGGTGGCAAAAGTCCTTACCAATTGAAACAGATTTTCACGAGGGTCTGAGCAGAAGAGAAGCAGGAAAGAACGAGATGTATAAAATACGGAATTTTCTTGGTAAGATATGGACAGTTGATGTTGATCAGATGCAGGTTGTGTGTTGGCCTTCTTGGGCTGAGAGCAGAAAAAGAAAAAACATGTAGATAACGAGCAGGCGAGAAAGGCGACGGTCAACCCTGATCAGAACAAGTTGTGGTGTGATGAGCTCTCCTGGATGGTAGCGAGGACTACGAGACACAGATGCAACGCGATGAACCCTTCTCGACCAAATGCGCCACTCATGATGTCCACGAATTCTTGTAACTCAACCACGCTATTCAAACTCTAGATGAGGACAAGAAAAATCCCCAGCCGAGCACCGCGATGTGGAACGATATTTGGGGTTGTACAAATCCAGCTCGGAGTACGTCCCGTTTGCTGAGGCAAAAACATATTTTGTTATGGTTTAGGCCCCGTTTGGTATGGCTTACAAAAGCGGGGCAAAATTACGGAAGCCGTGACGTGAAGTGACCGCCACCGTTTTTTCAAAACTTCGGTTTTCGGTTTTCGGTTTTTGGAATTTGGGCATTTCCTTCAATTTTTTTGAAAAGCAACCATGCCTCCCTCTCAATTTACAGTGAGTCGGTCAAACTGCTCGACCGATTCAACTCTTGTGCCTTCAAATATCCAGACTTTGACTCAATCAAACCACATCTCAAATCTTATCAACTTCAATCGTATCAATCAATACCAAAGTATTGTAGTTCAAATTAAACTAATAGATCCTACTACACATCACAGTCGAATTGGCGAGCTCTTATCTCAACACCTGTTGTGTTAACCTTTTAAATTTCTTCGTCAACTTCATATCGAACCACTAATGTTTAAACTACCCATTGCATCAAAAAGCTCCATCGGCTTGCTCTTATCTCAACAAAAAATTGATCCACTCGATCCTACTACACATCACAACTAACTCTGAAAGCTCTTATCTCAACACTCATTGTGTTCACCTTTGAAGTTTCTTCTTTAACTTCTTATCGATCCATTAATTCTTACACTAACTACACATCAAAATGCTGAATTGGCTGTCTAAGATTTATGTACGTGTAATTAGGTTTTCTATATGATAATTCTATATTACAAGGTATTTTTGGGTACTGTGTATGTATCAGGGCTGACAGTTGTCTTGATTGAAGGGCTTGACCTGATGTATGTTTTACACAACTTACGACATTTCAATCATGAGGCTGTTTTAAAAAATGTATGCCAAGTATTTTTGATTATTCTGAGTTCTCAAACAATTGAGGTTGATCTTGACAATCACCTCCTCAAAATTCAACCTATTTGGAAAACCAACAGTTTCTTTGATCAGAAAGGTTGTTGATTGATTGAGGGGTAAGGTGATTTGTGACTGTAAATGATACCAAGTTGATTACAAGTTTATTGACTGTGAATGATACCAAGTTGATTACAAGTTTATTGACTGTAAATGATACCAAGTTGATTGAGTGAGTGATAATTGAAACAAGTCTGGACTTTGATAAAAGATACTCAAGCTGGGTGGTGGTGGTGATAGCTAGATTGGTGAAAAGACAAGTGTGAAAAGATAGCTCGGTGGTGGGTGGTGATGTTTGTACATAGCTAGCTGATGGTGAAAAGACAGATGTGGAAAAAATGCTCGGTGGTGGGTGCTGAGTGAAAATACGAGTGTGGAATAAACCCTTGGTGGTGGTGATGGTGTCAGTTGGTGTTCTCGGTGATGGTAGCCCGTGGTGTGTATCAAAAATTGAAGGACATGCCCAAATTCCAAAAACCAAAAACCAAAAACCAAAAACCGAAGTTTTGAAAAAACGGTGGCGGTCACTTCACGTCACGGCTTCCGTACAAAATGCATTATTTTTTGAAAATAATCTATTTTTCACATTTTCAAAAAATCGTGTTTGTTACCACTTTTGCCCCTTTTTTAAAGGCAATTGATAAAGGACGCCGACTTGAAAAGAGAAGTTACGCCGGTTTTTGTTAGCTTGGATTAATCAGGAAGCTATACAGTTCGGAAAAACCTGAGGAGCCTTGAGGACCTGTAAGGTGCTCCAAAGGCTTCAGAAACATTCTGAAGCCGGTTTTGGGGATAGTCGGTGTCATCCCTTTTGGATTATTTTGAAGCTCTGACGCCGGCCTCTTGGAAATTTGACACCGTAAAGAAAAGATTGCAAGGTTACTGCTTTTGTTGGCTTTTGTTCACGCCAATGGCACAGTGGCCTCTGATTACCAAACAGCCAGGACAGCAAGTATATGTATCACTCCTCAATCTGATTCTTGTCGCTGATTTTGAACCGCATTTACGGAGGACAAGGCTTAGAGACCATCTATCAAACGCTTCATTCACATTTCTTGCACCCACAAGCTCTAAACCAACTTAAACACCTGACTCTCAGTCCTGAAAGCTGGGTCCGTACAGTTTTGATTCCCGAGGTGTCTTTACGGATGATCACGAACAATCTCAAGGTATTCACTTTGGATCCTCAAGTTAAAGATACGCTCGAGAGATCTCGAGCATATGGGATGGCTATGTATGTTCCCAGCTGACGAGGACAACTTTTGAGATTGCACCATATTGAACGGTTCGATATGAAATCATGAGTGTCCTTATTGAAGGTCTTCCGCTGAAAGCACTTACCGAGGCTGATACGATGTATATAGGTGAAATGCAAAATGATCATGAACACTAATAATGAATCCAAATTTAAGCAGTCTCTACTTTTCTTTTCTACTTGCCCTTTCTACTTGCCCTTTCTGCTGCTTTTTTTTGCTTTGCGGGTGAGCTTGAACTTTTGGATGATCGATTCTCGCGCAAAAGTGTCATACTCTCAATGACACTGTGCGTGAACATATGCAAGGAAAGCAACCATTGGTGGGCTCTTGTTGCATGCAAACAAGCCAAAAAATCTACAAGGGTATTGCCGCAATACTTGAAGTCGGCGTCTCACATGGGAAGTCGGTGTCAAGCTTTAAGATCCACAAGGGATGACACCTGATGACACCAACTTGTACACACCCAAAAACCGGCTTCAGAATGTTTCTGAAGCCTTTCGAGCACTTTACAGGTTTCTCAGGTTTTGTCGAGCTTTATAACTTCTTGATTAATCCCAGCTAGTAAAAACCGGCGTCAAACCAGTTTTCATGTTGGCGTGGTTTATCAATTGCCTTTTTAAAAATGAATTACACCGACAATAATCCATTATTTTGATCAAAAATATGACATTTCCTTGAGCAGCTTTCAAAATCCAATAATCCATTATCAAAACCCGGACAAGCCTTCGAACTCGACCCTCGGCAGGATCAAGGCAACCCAAGGCAACTTTTCTCCTGAAATTTAGACAAGTACAAAGTTTTTTGGTTTATTTTTGACTCGACTTTCATTTATCATTCTTGAGACTTTCTCTCTTACATCATCAACATGAAGAACTTAAACAAGGAATCTCCTGGAATCTATTCACCTATCATATTGACTCGCACATCACTAAAGCATTTATCATCATCTTGTTTATAAACGTCTTCTCAAATCTATATACATAAACGGTACTCAAAGTAACTAGGTGGTTTCTGACTACTTTGAAACCTAGAACCTACTTTTTTCTTTTGGCGGGGATTTTTTTTTAAAGTATGTTTTTGCCAACTGGGCAGCTTTGAGGACCCCGTGCCTGCTTTTACCATATCTTTAGCCTCTGTCACATAATGCCTTGCATTGGCCTCCGGCAAGGTCTGGCCGTAGATCTAGTCCAAGCCTCCGGAAAGGTCTTATCTACCATTTATTCCACCTCACAACCTCCGTCTTACATTGGCTTATATGCCTACCTCCACCTCAACATCATGAAAACAGCATCGGAAATCTTAATCAATAACTCCGACAAAGCCCTACTGGTCTCCATCGACTCCCTTGTTTGGGCTTTGAACAACTTCCTTATTGTTAAACATGTTTCTTTTTGAGTTTTGTTAGGTCATTGGAATGAAAGTTTGGTGAAGGTGAATGAACTCGCCCTTTCGTCCGCACAAACAGTCATCTCTACATTTATGGGCCTGATCAATCCTGAAATGTTTTTACCAATCGTAAGTCATTCACTCTATTCCCCAAGCCCTCGCTGATAGTTGGAATGCAACTGATCAAATTCAACTTGAAACACGTGCTCAGATATCAATCATTTTCAAAACGATTGATCGATTCAACTCTGTCTTAAGAGGGAGTTGACTCAATCCCTCTCCCCTCAGGCTTCTATTCAATTTTATTCAAGTCTTCATTTCAGAGATTCACAAAAATATACCAAGAAATACACGAAAACAATAACAAATTTTGAACGATCGATCGATTTAAAAAACAACCAATTGTCACACTTCTCACCGGTTCAGATCATAACTCACACCTACTCACACTAATCACTCTCAAATAGATAAATTTTCCACATATAAGCATCATAGTTTTCATTTCAGAGTAAAAGGAAAATAAAAAACATGACTATAAGAGTCTTTTGTGTCTTTGGTATCAAAATCGAGAGAATTAAGAGTGAAAAATTGTTTTTTATTGGTTTTTATTTGTTGTGAATGAGGTAAAAGAGTAATTTTTGTGGTTTCAATTGTTTGTACTGAGATAAAAAATAACCTGTGTAATCTCGTGTATTCATGAGGTAAGGAGTTGAAGGGTTCACTACAAACCGTCAGTAAAAGCTTTGGCCATCTTTCTAGCCTGGGCATGAGGAACACCAGCTTTAGTTATGGAAAGCAGTTGTGGGTGAAGCGGGAGACAGGGTTTCCGGAATAGATGGTGGCAATTGATCTGACATGCTGAGCGTGAGATGGTGTGTGTGGTGACAGATGGGGCTCAATGACTGAGAAAATTGAAAGTGGGCACCCGGCACGGCAGTACAAGAGTGCTCGCCTACTTTTTCTGGTTGGTGCCTACTTTTTGAAGTTAGGTTTCTCAACTAGGTCTAACTAGGTAGATTTCACCTAGTTACTTTGAGTACCGTTATATTAATTTTGAGTCACATTATACTTGACTCTTTGTTTAACCTTCATTTTTGATTTCATTCTTGTTTTCAAATTAAATATTTATCATTATAACCATCATCATCATCATAACAACACCCGACTCGCAGCGCAGACTGCGAGGCACAGCCTGCGCCTGCGCTGTGGCACAGCGCTGGGGTTTTTGAAAATATGGCGACTGCGCCTTTTCACAGCGCAGGGGCTTTTCGACTTTTCGCCACTGCGCCTTTTTGCAGCGCAGTGGATGTGTCACTTCTCCAATGGAAAATTGAAAAAATGGGCTTTCCATCCGCCAGAAAAACAATTTTTTTGCCCACTGCGCTGCGCTGGACTTACCTGCGCTGGAGCGCACCGCAGGGGCCTCAAAGATTTTGGGTCACTGCGCCCTAGCGCAGCGCAGTGGGTTTTGGAATTTTCGATTTTTTTGGCGCAGCGCAGTTTCGCGCATTCTGCGCTGTACTGCGCTGACGTCGGGTGTTGATCATAAAGCGTGATCGAGACTCTTGAATCAACGCATATAGCTGGTTTATCTTTCAGATATCATTGTCAAGAGCTCTTTTTGTTCAACAAATCCGATTCTGGATTATCAATCAGGTTGATGAAAGAATCAGTCACTTCACAAAAGAAGTTCAATTGAATTTTACGATCCTATGAGATCAAATTTGATTGTTGTGGTTAAGAAGTTCGATCAAAGAGATCAAGCTTTGTATTCTGGGATCTTGATTTTTGAACTTGAGGGTCGTCAACCAAGTCTTCGATTGACGACGAGTACTCGATTGACGAGTCGATTGATCGCGAGTCGTTGAAATCGGACGGATCGAACATTATGATGTCTTTTGAGTTTTGAAAGATGGCGAATGGTACGTACCAAACACCATCTTTCAATTTTGACTTTGAAAAGCCGCTTCTCGCGGGTTACAAATGTTGAAATGTGAATTCCAAAAATAATACGTTTTACAATTGCATAATCTATTAATTGATAATGCATTTATAAAATCTATAAGCCATGCCAAACAGGGCCTTAGGCACCGGTGTTACTATTAGGTGTCCGGGATGAATTTCGTGATCAGGAGCCCAGGAAGCTTGTGATGAATGAAAACATAAAATCTTTCCTTCATCACACATCCGTTGTAATACACTGAACCCTTGATGTCTTCCAAGACTAATACTTCTACAAAAAGGTCAAGCAACAACAAAACATACCGAAATAATCACATTGAAATCTATTCATGAAAGAGTCTCGTACCAAACTGAAGGCCCCTTCACAACTCGAAACTTGATCTTTCAGGATCTCTTCGCTTGTCATCGGTTGATAGAATGCTTCCCGCTGACTGTCATTACATTGTGTTTGATATTGGATTCATGTCCGGGTTTTTCGACTCTTACTCTTGATCAAGAGACTTTCAAGCAGCCTGGCTTGACAGGCTGCTCCGCTTTTCCTCTTTCCTTCCAGTAATGACTCTCAGCCCTGTTGACATTTGGCTCGTGCCTATGCTCCGGTGAGACTTATGGCAAGATACTTGGTATGATCTCAGTGGCAAAATGTCCGTACACAACTGATGTAGGCATAAGTCACCAGAAAAAACAAGGTCTCAAAATCCTGGAACACATCAGGACTGTATTTAGACACTATCGGAAGGCTTTGGGATTCATCAGCCAAACATGATTGTGTCTAGGCTGTAAAATGATGCCAGATTGGTCACAATTTTATACATGAAGGAATCATCAAAGATGAAGAGAGCAGAAATAATAATTTAAATCCAATTACCGGCCAAATTCTGGCATGTCTCTAGTTCAGTCTGTAGGAGACTGGTTACAACAGTGGTATTTGATCAGGAAGCCAGCCTTCATGGTACAGCCAGCAGGACGGTGACCACGACTGCCTTCGTATTCAGAGGCAAGATGATTGATAGATGCTAAAGGGCGAGTTTCGAAACCGGACTCTTCAAAAACAACGAACCATCACATGTCAAAGCTGCAACCCAACTTTCAACATGGCTACATCGCGCGAGGTTCACAGTGAAGAGAAGATGGTGATTAACAACCATAGAGAGAATAGCTTATCAGCAACTTTTCAGGGGACATGATGATACTACTACCGAAATTGCGAACCTCCGGAGATATCAATTTCCTCAAACTTGGCTAAACCTGCGCCTTCGCCATTGAGGATGATCTCCTTTCGAGCTTGTATATACTTGAGCTGATTCCGGAAGTGGTTCAAGACGGCATCAGGTGTGTGAACCCCCTCAAACAAGCCCGAATTTGTTGCGGACGGATTCAACACCAGGACTCCATCTGCACCCTGAACTGAGTCCAAGTTAGACGTGATCAATTCGACCAAGGAGTTCAGGTGTTTTGTCGAAACCTACTTCACATAGAGGCATCAGCACAACCAGACCAAAAAGTCAAATGCAGAAACTTGCCAAGTTGTTTGGCTCACCGCTTCATTCTGGCGCTCAAAGTAATAGATGTACTGATCTAACGCATCGCAGTAAAGTTGAACGCTTGTTAGCTCGTCGATGCTACTAGTGGCAATCCTCAGGGATTTCTGTAGACACTCTAACACCCGTTTACCATCCCTGAGCAAGTCCTTTGAAGGATCGTCCAGCTCGGTGGCTATCTTCTCTGTCTGCCACCACAAATGACTGGCTAATGCCACAGCAGTCGCTTGGTGACTCTTTTTCAAAAGTTTGGCGCCGTGTAACGCTGCTTTGGTGATCAGGGTGTCGTAGTTGTCAACTCCAAAGACTCTAGATGTTTGCAATGCGCCAATTATTAGGACGATGGCTTGAAGCTGGGCTCGGCTTTCAGAAATCGATTCCTCGTAGATTGTGAATGCTTGCACCGCAAACTCATACGCCAATTCTTCAAGGCCTGCCATATCGGCCGATAGTAACGCCTGTAGATATAGCCGAAGGCAAATTTCGGATGATTCAACCTTGTTGTATAGAATAGACAGAACTTGATGGATCCACTTGAATAGTGCCGAGATCTTGGCCTCCCAATCGGGGATAAAATGCTGGCGAAAGGTATACCGATGAGCTAATTTGAGCGCACATATCACGAGCGGAGGATAAGTCCATCGGATCCGATCGCCACCTTCGCTGAACGCTTTTCGGGCTTCTTGGAGAAGCTGAAGAACTCATTAACAGTTAGCGACATCCTTGAGGGTCTCGAAATAACGGACACTTACTTTGGTTTGCAGGTCCAAATCATTGTTTCTCAAAAGATGGACTATCCGCGCTAACCACCCTTGTTCTTCAGCCATCTCTTCAGGATCATAGGCTTGATGTCCTCGATGGCCCATGATCTGTCGCTGTCCAATTTGAGTAGGCATTCCAATACCTGCATCACGCTGGTCGCGTACCAGAACATGGCACATATCAAGAACTCCTTTGCAGTCTACCGGATCGGCGATACATGTCTCATTCTTCAGGATAGAAGCTACCACCGAATGGCCGATTGCTCGACGTGATAAAAAGGGTTGTACAAGTAATAACTCTTGAAAGTTGGGAAGCGCCAGCAGCGTAAGTACAGTGAGGTAAGAATTGATGGGTGCGAGAAGCAGAGCTAGTAGGTTTTGGATAGAAGCAGGATGGTGTAGGTCAGGACTGTCGGCGTGCTCTTGAACCTTCGCTTTCGCAAATCCGAGCACTTGATCCACATACTCAAGTCGATCAGGATAACAACTGAGAGCAAGATTGGTAAGCGACACTAGTAAGGCGGTGACATCCTGAATGGATAAGTCAGGACGCGCCTGTGAAGTATACGCAGATTGTATCAGTAGAATACGGCAGTGACGATGAGTTCGAGATGATAATCAAAATAATTCTTCTACGGACTCGGATCAACTCCACCACCTGATGCCAGAAGACTTCGAAAAGGGGAACGTTTTCAGGAATCCCGCGAAATTTTCGTACAGGCTTTTGAGGCGTACTAGGGCCTGCCTCCGGAGCAATCTGAGGAGCAGGCTGAGAGGTACCGTTTGTTTCAGAGGTGCTCACAGCCTCCGTTCCAGAAGGTGATGAGCTGCCTTCAACCTGTTTGAATGCAACCTGTTCCTCAGCTACTCCCCATTCGATGTTGGAATACTTCATTGCCGTTTGAGCTTTGGCCCTTGCTTCCTCTTGCTGCATCGTCTGCCATCGCTTCTCTTTTTGGGTTTTGATTTTGGCTGCCAAACGACGTGCAGCTTCTTCCTCTTGACGCCTTGTCTCGTCAGGTGACTCATTTTCCGCCTCCCGAGCTGCGTAGGCCGCGAGGCGATCGATCAAAGCCGTCACGATCTGCTTGATGTTGACCTTCGGATGTAGTTGTGCGGTAGCAGAGAGAAAGGGGCCGAGAGTGCGCAGATGAAAGTCGTCTGTAAATACCTAATTCGAACAGGTGTCAAGGCCGTATCTATCACCCAGTGGTCAGACTGATGAACGTTGGTTTCACCCACCTGGATCACAACTTCCATCAAGTACTCTTGGGCAATCGTGTCTTTGCAATTCACAACTTGCTCCAAGACAGCTGGTAATATCATTCGCTGATACATCTCAAGATCCACCCCCTCTAGCTGACTCAACCGTACAAGATTGGTCCCAACCAAGATCCTGAGTTCTTTGCGTTCCATTTCTCGCTTCTCGCGATCCCGACTAAGTCCCTGATGTTGTAATCGAACCCACAGCTTATTCATCTCGATGAAATTTGTCAAGACAAACCCGAGTGAATCGTGCAAATTTCCTGAAGGCCTAACAGGTCAAGGATCATATCAGCTCATGCCTCAGGGATCCAAACGTGCAACGCAGGCAGCGTGGATAGACGGAGACGAACGTACCCTGGATCCGAGCCCACAGGAAGATGGTCTCTAGTCATTCCACTTAGATAGTGTCGCAAAAACAGTCCACGAGTAGGATGCTGAACTCCACGGGTCATTTCCATCATGTCTTTCATGATTTCCTTGACAGGCGCATCGGGAATAGACATATACACAGTACCAACGGTGATCATGAGATACTGATAAGAACAAGCAGCATTAATTTTACATGCAGATTGTCACCGAATTTCAATGCGCCGTTGATTCAGATAAAAGAACACACCAATCGTGGCACGATATTCCCGGCATACTGTACAAGCTCGTATAGATCAGCTAGATGATGTTTACCTGAGACGTGCGCTTCGTACAGATAGGCCGAAAGGTGACGCAAAGCGTCAAATACAGCCATATCTATATCATGGAGGACCCCACACCCGACATTAGTGGTGAAATGAATTCAGAAGCCGTTGGTGAATAAGAATGATGGTTGTTTACAAAGTTCGTAGTATTGTTTGGGACTCAAGCTACTCGTCCTTAGCTCAGCCAACATGGTGCTCGCGCTCTTCAAGGCATCCATCAACTGATCGGCATCCTATAAATCGAGAAGCACCTTTCTAATGAGACCTCCATGCAGCTGACTTGCAGAAAACGCAAACGGACCGATACTCACGAGCGATCGTTTCATTTGAACTAATTGAATCTTTACAGTGGCCAGTGCCTCAGAGAGCATCTTACCATCAATCACTTCCATCGTTTCCAAATTCCGAATCCGATGATTTTTCGAGGCGGGAGGAGATGTCAAGATGGGCGTTGAGCAAAGTTGATCTGATTGAAGGATGGTGATCGAAGGTAGGATAGAAGTGAATGATTAATCTGTTGAATACATCATCCAATCTCGTGAGTTGTGACATCAGGGCGCCCGGATCGTCCGACATCCGATGCTCGAGTTAAGCGCCCCGTTTAAGATCTTGCTACACCACGGGTCAGCTTGTCCGGCAGTCGTTTGCCTGCGTTGTCCGCCTCAACCTCGAAATCATAGCCTGTACCAGGTGAAAAAGCGTAATCAATTTCATCAGGACCCTGAAGAGCCCCTATATACCCGGCTTATTGGGTATGTAGGAGTTGGCCTTTTTTGGCAAAAAGGGTCCTAATCTTCTGGGTAGGAATTTGACAAAATTTCAAAAAAATCCAGTAAATGTGCCTTATCTAAGAGGTAGGAATATGTCAAAAAGTGGGGGCAAAAAAATTATGTTGCTTACACCTGAGGTAGGAATTCAGCCTCTACGGGCCATAATCACCATGAGTATCCAAAAGCTACGAGCCAGAAACAGTACATTCAGGCAGGTCTTGATCAAGTTGCTGTTGAACACGCTCAAGCTCAAAAACAATAAGCTACTCTCCAATTTTATTCTCTAAATTTTTCTTGCTGTTTGTGATCAAATCCTCTCCGTCTTGTCTAGAGATTCAATCAGATGGTCTTGCTTCAACTTTTTCATCTTCATCTCTACCAAATTCAAAAAAAAACATTTTTTCCTACTTGTGATCAAATTCTCCAATATCCACCATGTGTAGAGGTTTGATTTGATGCTTCTACTTTGGCTGTTTCATTTTTGTCTAACCAAATTCCAGAAAAAAATCCAAGTTTTTCAAAAACAATTGAGATGTTGAATTGTGCTGAAACACCCAAAAACACAATTTTGAGGTTCCTTATTCAAATGGAAGGAATTTTAGGATTTTTTTTATCAAAAAAAAATGGTCCTTTTTCCGCAGGTAGGAATCCAATTTTTTTTTTTTGAAAACCGGCGAAAATCGTGTAGGTAGGAGAGCAAAATTCTGGGTTTTTTGTCAGTAGGGTATATTGGGGCTCTCCAGGGTCCTATTTCATCCCCTTGACACTACAGAAAAAATCTGGTTTTCCCCGGGGATTTCTGATTCCGCGTGAACAGAAAATCACGTGACTTCTGTACCGCATGTACACGGATTGGGCTTCTTACGGCGCTGTACACTCGATGTCTGTACACGACCCAAACTTAACTAAGTCCCACCCAGACCTAAGAGCATCCACAACAGTCCACCTACTTTGCGAGCCCTGGAACAGACCCCCAATCCTGATTTTGTGGATGTAGGGGGTCAACAAAACAGGTGTCCACAGCGGTGCACTTGAAGTCAGGGGCCAGAACTCGATTGAGTGATATGGTATGCTTGTACCATATCATCTTGTTTCGAGTGCGGTTTGTGATGTGACTATATCGGTGACGTGGAAGCAGTGGCACGTGATATTGGGAGCCCCTATAGACCTCGCAGATGTGGGGGGTCCGGATGGAAATCTGGAGGCCCCCGACGTCTCACCCCTGATTGTGCGAGCTCCGTTGGAGCGTTTTTTTGCGTTTTGACCCCCTACATTGCTGGGGGCCCGCAAAGTAGGTGGACCGTTGTGGATGCTCTAACCACTATCTCCCGTGAGCTCGAGGATCAGCCACAGCGGTTGGCCAAATCAAGTGGTTGATTTTTTTTTTTTAAAGCTTTTCATTATGGAGAACCAAGAGAGGTCGAGACTCATACCCCGAGTTATATCTGTGGACAAGTCACACGGGGTTCAGGGTACGAGTCTTTGGGGCTGATGAGCTGCCTCACCGATCAGAATCCTCATCTCAGCTCCGATCTCACCACCAATACTCACCACCGATTACATCTGACAGCTCAGATGGACGAGATGGATGGTATCGTAAGTCATTGTGTACCATCAACATATTCTACATGTGATTTGGACTGATCATACATACGCTTTGACGCTTTAGAACGACAACGACGAGGTTGTGCTTTTTGAATGTAATGCTGAGTTCCAGGTCTTCTGTAAGAAAGGAACCACCGCAAAGTTCACCTGGAAAGGGTTTTCAAACAAACATCCCATCCTGGTCGAAGTGATCCCAACTGTAACGACATATGAAGTATTCAAAACCAATATAATCAAAGCTTGCGATCAAGAACGGGCAGGCATAGGTGCAATGATCTTGGCTGACAGTCTTGCTCCGACCCATCCTCTTGGAATCAAGTGGACATGCTGGATTGCAACAGTGCCTACCTATCTCAAGAATAAGTTTCATCCTCTCAACGATCAAGCTGATTTTGATACATGGGTCAAGAAGGTTTGCGATTTCCCTGGTAAAAAAGCTGGTGTATGTATGAAGATGGAGAAACCAATAAGTGAGGCTGAACGCGCCCAAGAAGTGAGTTTAGTTTTTCTTTTTTTTTCTCAAACATTTTTTGACTGACATTCATTCTCAATTCAAGGATAATATGCTAGACCAAGCAGTCCGAGGGATACCAGGTGCAGATGGTCAACTTCTAGACAGGCAACTTGGCGATGACGACGACGCAGGTGAAGAAGACATCACCATTGCGAAGATTACATCGATGGGTAAACCTGACTGATCTAGAATCGACCGCTTGATTCCTGTATGGATCTTTCCTACAGACAAGACTCGTTATGTCTTGCTTACTCCGGACCGTGTAAACAGATGGGCAAGAGCTATTGTAAGTGCAAAAGAATATTTACTTCATCCATCATTGATTAGTACAACACTGAATGTTGTTTCTTTCTACAGCATGATCCAGCAATCCATGGGGTCAGTCTTACCAGCCCCCCAAGCGATTTATTGATGACTGTCAAGCCAGCAGCACTTTCTAGAGCTCCTCCTAGACAACGCTATGGCTTTGTAGAACCTCCAGAAGACTATGATTATGGAAATATACGCGGCTCAAATGAATCAGCTTTGGATCGTCCTTCGGCTGAGATGTCCAAATATCTCGATTTTGTGAAGATCACCAACCCTGTTACACTGCAAATATAATGTGTTTCTCTGTGTTGAAAAATGATTACATTTAATTCAAAAAATGATTAAAAGTGCATTAAATCTACATTAAATCTACATTTTTCTGCATTAAATCTGCATTATTAATCATTTTGTGCATTAAGTTCAATCATTTTTCACCTTAGAGAAACACATTATATTTGCAGTGTTATCCTCTTATTTCTCACTAACTGTGACATCACCGATTATCATCAATTCAGTTCAGGAACAATCAAGTTTGAACACCTTGAACGTTTGGATGCTTTGTTTAATGTTGGTATCATTAGCAAGCTTATGGATAATGTTACATGTTTTGATGAGTTCCTTCGTCTCAAGGAGTGAATGACTGGTATGTTTCTCTTGATTCTTTTCATGTAAAGAATGATGTGAATCATTTCAAGCTAATCCAATCATGTTTGATCTTTGTGTGCTTTGACCTTGTTAGATTGCTCTTCCTGCCTTTATCTTTAGTTCAAACAAGTTGTAAAAGAAGAGACACAACACACTTTTAGCGTGAATTGAATAAAATGTAATATGATTCATTTGCCAGGCCTTTCACTCAATTGATACCACTAATATCAACATGTACATTTTCAAGGAATTTTAAAGCACGAGGACGAGAGTGATTAAAGGGAAGTTTGGTATTTTTAGACAGGGGACAAATATCACAATCTACTGTATCCTCCTCCTTGGTAACAACTCCATCCAGACTTCCATGTTTGATCATTTTCTCAAGATAATGCTTGCTTATATGGCATAGACGACGATGAAGAATTGAAGAGCATAAATGAGATGACGAATCGGAAGACGAGGTTACATTGACAGCCGGAAGGCTTACTGATTCGATGACCACATTCATAAGCCCGTTCTCCAAGATTATTCCATTGAACAAGGCAAGTCCATTCTTGACAAGAGCAAAACATCTAGGATCAGTGGTGTCATAAGTTTCACGAACTCCTTTCTTCTTTAGGATTCCTCCAGCGATTAAGTTCTTGCTGAGTTCGGGGACAAGTAAACAGTCAGTGAGTTCAAAAATCGATCCGTCACCGGCTTTCAGAAGAACTTTCCCAACTGCTTCTACCGCTAATGTAGCATCTCCACCAGCCAACTTTACTCTTCGATTAGGATCTTCAACAGGTTTCAACGAGTCAGGTTCGAACAGAGCACGTGAGTTGAACATGTGATTGGTTGCACCCGTATCGTGAAGGGCCCACAAGGTGTTGGAAGAGTCAGTGGTTGAGAGATTAGCAGCAGGAGGGTTATCAAGAGATATAACTTCGAAACTTGTGTGAAGTGACATTCGTTCAAAATTATCAGTAATCATGTTGGCTGAGGGAGTAACTCTCTTCATTCCTCGAACTTGTGAATTGCTAAGACGAGAATTTGGATTGAAGTGAGGCTTTTGATATCCACTAGTTCTGCCAGCACGTCGTCGAGCTAAGAAGTCGTCACGTTCCTTGAAGTTTTGCGGTTTAGACCAACACTTATCCGCTGAATGAGGGCCTTTACACACGGTCTTGGTGCACTCGAATCTTCGTCCCTTTGATGTGGCACACGCGAAGTTATCGGCAGATCTGGCTTCGAGATGGACTTCTGCCGAGAGAGTAGAAAAATTGTGGCGAGTGTCGTAATCGCAAAGATACTTCATAACATCACGTCGAGTTAAAGGATTTACTGTAGAATGGATGAATTCTACTGTAGCTTCAGGTAGACGATCTATAGAGTCAATGAGACGTAAAGCTGATTGGCCATCGTCCATCTTGCCGCCATAACGAATAAATTCAATAAAAAGGTTTTCGAATTTATCGAGGTATCCAGAAAGAGTATCACCTTTGGATATGGTGATATTACTGAGAGCTTTAGAGATGGAAGCAAGACGTTGCGCATTTATGAGATAATGTCGCTCTTTCACGAACAACCACAGAGAAAACGGATTGTGAACAATGGAGTTGGGATCATCTGGATCCGTAAGGTGATTGATAGCTTGGCAGTGATTTGCCTTGTCTAAGCGATTCAGTATATAGCTAACTATAACTTTCTTGGTTTTGACTACCTTATCAGCAGACAGCTCGGTATCAACGAATTTTTCGTTTACAATATAGTGGTGAAGCTCTAGAGTCTTGAGATTATCAAAGATCGATCTGTACCACGTCGCGTAGTTCCCATCCTCTAAGTCATCAGTTACTTTGAACTTGCTCAAAGCATTAGTTAACTGTTGACCGTATCTTTGAAGAGCATTTCCGAACACAGAAACTGGTTCTTCAGATGTCATGTTCGAGGACTTTTCGGTAATGGTTTGATTTGAGATATTCTCTTGACTAGGTGGCTGACGGGTAGTAGTTCCAGAAGCGTTTGATTCGGAATCGGACAGATCAGGTTCTTCAGAGCAAGTACTTGATGGTGTTGACATGAACAGATGTGGATAAAACTGAGGTGAAGTTCAAACCTCTCGCTACCATGTAAGAAAATGAGGATTACACGCTCGACGCTGTGAATCTACGATGAACCTTTATAAAGGTGAAAACAACTCTCAGCCTTATGCTGACGAGGCACGGCTGACAACTAAGATAACGAGTACTAAACTCGAGATGAGACGAACCTGAAGAGGGAACGAGGATGATAGAAGTAATAGAAGACTTTCAAATCAATTTCCTCAATGGTAAACATGTACACAACCACAAAGACAATACTAACCTTTATAAAGGTGAAAACAACTCTCAGCCTTATGCTGACGAGGCACGGCTGACAACTAAGATAACGAGTACTAAACTCGAGATGAGACGAACCTGAAGAGGGAACGAGGATGATAGAAGTAATAAAAGACTAAAGAGAAGAAAATGTAGAATCAAGTAATGTGCGAAACAATAGACACTTCAGCATTATCAACGTATAAAGAAAGTAAGCAAAAAGTTGTTGATTTTCTGAGCTTACCTTTCAAATCAATTTCCTCGATGGGGAAAAAGATTCGAAAGGACACAGTGGAGGGTTAATAAGGAAAAATAACACATGAACAAATTTTCGCAAACATGATATGAAACATAACCAACTAAACAAACAATCCCAATGCGGTCAGTCTTCTAATGTTCTCGTTTAACACCTAATTGATTCAATCCCAATCCGGTCATCTCCTTCTGACTCCATCCTTGTTACCTTCTCCATCACGCCTTCTTCTTTAGTTTGAATTGATTTCTACCTTGATGGTTTTGACACTATACCCAAGAATGAAATTCTCCAACAATTTTATTATAAACAAGGAAGGAAATAAAGCTTCTATTCTGTTTTTTTCTTTCTAGTTTTCAAATAGAAAAAAAGAGTAACCAACACTTTTAAGAATATAAAAAAAGACAAAAAATAAAAAAGGGTAAGGACTTTTTGTAACCTATCACACTTAAAATCACCGATTATAATAATGATAAAACACCCGGGGTAAATCATAGCCACAACCATGATAGAGTTTTGCCAACAATGAAGGAGTCAGGCTATTAAAAGCCTGGTCACGTATGAGCCAAATAGGATCCTCATTCGATTCTTCCAGAATCATGTTTCTTCTGAAGGCAGACTTAATGATATAAAAGCACGGCTCGATAGGGTTCAGTTCAGGACAGTACGGTGGTAAATACATTAACCTAACACCTAGACCCATCACATTAAGTTTAAGACATTTGTAACAATGTCAGTACATTGTTATAGTCAAAGATTGGACCAAACACTAACCTCGATCTGCACAAAGCGCCGCAACTCGACCACCACGATGAATTGGGGCATTATCCATCACCAGGATACTGTTGATGCCAGGATAAGCATTCATTTGAGGAAGCTACAATAATTACACAAGATATCAGTACAATATTCTGAGAATGAATGAAACTTTAGAAAGAAATCACCAGCATGAACTCCAAAAATTGTTCAAATCGATGTCGATCCATGGTACCATCACGAACAGTCATGGCTAGAATCCCATTTAAGCCAATTGCAGGGAGAAGAGAGTAACGCTTTGGATTGCTACGCTTGATCCAGCGGGTCACTTTTTTGCCTTTTTCAGATCTTCCAAAAACCCGCATTAGATCCCGTTCACATATGGCACTCTCATCTGAAGTCACAGGTTATCAAAAGAGGAGGAGAGAAAATAAACAAAGCAAAAGAAAGTTCAGTCATGTGATAGAGCTGAAAAGCATAAAGGGAAAAAATAGGAATACTGCATACCAGTGAAGACAAGATATTCAGCAGGCACAAAATCCATGTCGGAAATCCAGCAGGCTCTTTTATAAAAATCCTTGCGAATATGAGAGGTGTGAGCTTTCTTGAGGGTGATTTTGAGGCGGCGGTTGAGCTCATTGTGAACAGTTTCAAGACATGGAAGGACACCTTGGGCATTGAAGATCTGTACACGGATCTCATCCAGAAATAGCTGAGGTTCATTGGCAACCAACCCCTGAATGAACTCCCGATCCTCGTCCGAAAGCACTGTTGGGCGCCCACATTTCTCATACTCGTCGGGGTTGCGGATGACTTGCCTGGTGTTCTCATAAAGATCCATCCATCGGTTGAAACTGCGGTGATGAATGTTTTGATCGACAGTATCACGAACTTTGTCTTCGGTTTTGCCTTGAAGGAGAAGTCAAACAGCAATGATTTTGAGTGAGGGGGAGTATTTTACAAAAGGCATTGATCGGTGGTGAGATTGGATGTGGTAGTGAGTATCGGTGATGAGATCGATGTGGTGGTGGTGGGATCGGAGCTGAGAGCCAACCAGATGATTTCCAACACCAGTTTGGCAAATCAAAGGGTCACCGAGGGATCGTGCTTGCACCAGTCAAGCGCCTAACCCTTGGCTTGCAGAGTGTCGAGTATTGGTGGTGAGATCGGAGC